AGCCGCCCTGTCCTTCGCACGACACCACTCAGCCTGGGCGCCCTGTGCTCCTCTCCCCAGTCTCCTGTTCTCTGATGCCCGTTCCCTCCTTTTCTGTTCGAACCCATAACCCAGTGGGCCGGGGCCCGGGCGCTGTACGGGTGCGTGCAAGCCGCCCTGGGAGAGGAGTCCGCACAGCCTGGCCCGGGTGGTCTCGCTGGAGGCGTCAGTCCCACCATCAGGCCAGCTCCCCAGCGTGTCCACAAACAGCAGAGGCCTTTCCCCCCTCTCTCGCCCTCCCCCTTCTCCCTTCTTCCCCCTGCCCTCCCCCGTTCCCTGCCTTCTCCTCAGAGCTCCTCCCCCTGAGGAGGCCCAGCCCTCAGGGACCTTCCCGCCCAGCTTCCCCCCCCCCCCCCCCCCCCCCCGCCTCTGACTCCCACCTGGGCCTCCCTGGGCCCCAGAGCACCTGCAGGGCACAGCCCTCCCCCCTCACCCCAGCTGCTCCCCAACAGCCAGAGAAGCGGGAACTCTTAGCCTCCTGCCAGCGGCGCCCCCAGTGGAACTGACCAGCAGAGGTTTCTCACCCCCCAGCAGAGCTTGCCATGGAGGGAAGGCGGGCAGAGGGGGGGCCACAGGACTCTCCGAGGACGGTCCCCTGACCCCCTGACGCAGAGGAGCTGGGCGCCAGCCGCTGAGACCTGAGCTGGGCCCCAGGTGCTGGCCTCCAGGGCCCCCTGCGGAGGCGGGCGGACACGCTGGGCAACCGTCTGCTCCACCTGGAGGCGGTGGAAGCCAGCCGGCCGGAGCAGTTTTCTCTCGTTATCTGATTGTTATCCTTTTATCTCCTAGAATTTATGGCTGCAGAGCGGCGGCCAGATTTCTGGAATCTGTTTTTAATCACTTGGGTTTCTGTCAGGAGGTTAAAAAATTTTTGTTCTCTTTCATGTTTTTGTTTAGAATATGTTTTGCTGTAAGTATTCATTTTGGAGAATTTGTTTCTTCACTCACGCACACACACGGACATACATGCATACACGGGGACACACACACACGTGGGCAAACGCATGTGCAAACACATGCACACACACAAACACGCATACTCACAGACTAACTGCTGCCTCTGGGGTTGGTACAGGCAGTGAGCACACAGAGCAACCCCTTGGAGAAATCAGCCCCCTTCTCCTCTCCCCCTTCCCCTCCCCCTCCCATTGCTCCCTCCCCCACCTCCTCCCCCTCTCTCTTCCTCCATCTCCTCCCCCTCCCCCCTTCCTTCTCCTCCCCCTCCCCTTCCGTCCCCACGGGGCACTGGCTCACGTTGTAAGGGCAGTTGGAATTCTTAACATGGAGAATTTCTGTCTTCACTTGTGTTTGTTGTGACACTGGCCACACACGCTGCGTGGGCCTACAGTTCACACCTCACCTATGATGCATGTATTCCCATTTTAACACATGACCTGGCATGACAGGTGTGAACCGTGAGCGCGTTGAGTCTCGGGAAAACTCAAAGTGATGGCAGAAGCGCCCGCGTGACTTTAAGGGTTTATTTCCCCTTGTTCATGGCGATCACGCGTGTAACAACCCCAGGGAGGCAGACGGAAACGTGTGCTTGATGTTCTGATTAAGTGTTCGCAGGCCCAGGATGGCCATGACGCACACAAGCAGGCCCTGGAGTGAGTGGCCCGGAGGCATCCCATTACCCAGGTCCTTCAACATGAGTGTCAGCAGCAGCAGCCTTGACAGACTTCCATGTGTTTTCCACGGAACAGCACTGGCAACACGTCCCAACCCTCACCCTCACCCCCAACCCTTACCCCGGGCCTCACCCTCATCCCTGACCTTCACCCTGACCCTCAACCCCAAACCGCAGCCTCACCCTCACCCTGATCCTCATCCCCAACCCTCACCCTCACCCTCATCCCCAACCCTTACCCTGACCCTCATCCCCAACCCTCACCCTCACCCTCATCCCCAACCCTCACCCTGACCCTCACCCCAACCCTCACCCTCAAACCAACCCTCACCCTCACCCCAACCATCACCCTCACCCTCTACCCTCACCCTCTCACCCCTGACCTTCACCCCCAACCCTCACCCTCACCCTGACTCTCACCCCCAACCCTCACCCTCACCCTGACCTGACCCTCAGCCCTGACCCTCACCCCAGACCCTCACCCTCACCCTCACCCTCACCCTCTACCCTCACCCTCTCACCCCTGACCCTCACCCCCAACCCTCACCCCTGACCCTCACCCCCAACCCTCAGCCCTGACCCTCACCCCCGACCCTCGCTATCACCCTCACCCTCTCACCCCTGACCCTCACCCCCGACCCTCACCCTCACCCTCACCCTGACCCTCACCCCCAACCCTCAGCCCTGACCCTCACCCCCGACCCTCGCTATCACCCTCACTTCTGACTTGGCCGTGAAGGAGACCGCGAGTTGTGTGTAAAATCCTTCCGATGCCTTCCCAGGTTCTGAGTGGTGGGCTGAGCGCTAGTTCCCCTCGGGGACAAGGACTCTAGTCTAGGGTGCAGCCTCGCTAGTTAAACGGGACATGAAATGCCCTGGGTGCCCACCACTTGCTGAGCTCACCTTCACCCGTTACTGTCACCGAGCCCAGCCCCCGTGTCTGATGTGTGGAGGCGGCTCTTCCCGGTGGGCGGCTCTTCCTCGTGGGTGGGTCTCCCTCCGTGGGTGGGATTTCTCCCGTGGGTGGCATTTCCCACCCCCCTGTGGGCAGCTCTTCCCCGTGGGCGGCTCTTCCCAGTGGGCGGCTCTTCCCGGTGGGCGGCTCTTCCTCGTGGGTGGGTCTCCCTCCGTGGGCAGGATTTCCCCCGTGGGAAGCTCTTCCCCGTGGGCGGCTCTTCCCCCGTGGGAAGCTCTTCCCCGTGGGCGGGTCTTCCCCCGTGGGCGGCTCTTCCCTGTGGGCGGGATTTCCCCCGTGGGAAGCTCTTCCCCCGTGGGCGGGTCTTCCCCCGTGGGAGGCTCTTCCCCCTGTGGGCGGCTCTTCCCGGTGGGCGGCTCTTCCCCCGTGGGTGGGTGTGAGAGTTCCTGTGGGAGAGGAAACAGAAGGTGCAGAGCTAGGGCCATCGACACTGCCCACAGCGGGAGCAGTCTGCTCCGGGAGAAGCCTCTAGACCGCGGGTCCCTGGGAGCCTTCACGGGGACTCGCTGCACATGGGCCAAAGCTCCTCCACGGTGGGCGAGGACACAGCGCAGACAGACAGACGGACAGACACCAGGACAGTGGGGGGACACCTGCCGCAGGGGCACAGGAGGCCACGTCACCCCACGGATCTGCCCAGCCCCGGGGCCCCTGCCTGGGGCAGAGGGACTCCCAGAGACGAGACTCAAGCACACAGGCCTGACCTACCATCTCACCACGGAGGAGCCCAAGGGAATTGTAAAAACCTGGAAACAACAAAATGGATGCACACACGCCAAAACGTAGGCGACTCTGCAGAAGCTGGACTGAGACCCTCCTGCCCCTGCTGGCCCCAACTCCAGCTCCGAAGACCCAGCTTCCGCTCCTCCCCCTCCCCCCAGGACACTCAGAGGCTGGGACCGACTGGGACTGAGTGGGACCTACATGTTTCCTGGCTGCTATTCCTGGTCAGCGGGACTAAGGCTCTTGATTCTGCACGCACACTGGTTCAGGCCTGGGGCCCAGCCTAGTGTCGCCTAAAAGTGTCTGTAAACAGCTCACTGGAGAGAATCCCACGTCAGCTCAGACCAGTTTGGGGGCAAGCAGGCGGCTGAACTGCACCCCCGACCCCTTCCCTGGGGCCTCAGCAGGTAGGGGAGTGACAGGAAAGGATGCTCGGCTCAGAGAACAGGAGAAACCTTGTGGGTGTGTGAGACCTGGCGTCCCACAGGACTGGCGCTGGTGGAGATCCCCAAAGTCTCCCACAGCCCGGGCCACCAGACTCTGCGCCCCCCGTTCGTCCCCCCCCACCCCCCTGTCCAGAAGCACCCGGGGCCTCTCATCAAGGTCCCCCACTCTGACGCCTGCACCTGGACGAGGAGGTAGCCGTTTCCTTGCCTCATCTGCTCTGTCTCCAGCCCACCCATCCCCACTCCCCAGGAGGCCCGATACACCCACCGTGAATCCTGCAAGTGAAATGAGTGCCCTTCCATGGGTCCTCCACGGGAAATTATAAGTGGGAAACAAGTTTACAGATGGGATATTTAAGAGGTTAAAATGTTTGTAAATGGGATATTGTAAGTGGATAAAAAGGTCTGGATAACTCTTAATCTTAGTTCTAAAGAAAAGTGTGTGCACTGTGGTGTGTGTGACGACCAGAAGCCGGCAGGAGCCTGTGGTGTCTCCTGGGCAGGGATGGCAAGTGCACCCGGGGGCAGGTTGGGGGGAGGGGTCAGGGGACAGGAGCCCTTGGGTCCCCAGAAGGGTGGGTGACACTGGGCCTCCCCGGTGAGGCCATGCTGCCCCAGAAGCCCTGACACAGGTGCCCTCCAGGGTGCCAGACATGGGGTTGGAACTGTTCTAGAAGCATCCTGACACGTGGCACCTTCAGAAGCAAGGCTGTGCACGGTTCCCCGGAAACTACTGTATCTGAGGAGGTGCCTCTGCACCGGCTCTGCCAGCATCGTGAGCAGGAGGCCCGGAGCAAACCTCGCAGACACAGAGGCCACGGGAGAGGCCACAGGAGAGGCCGGTGCCCCAGCAGAGCTTGGGTGTAGTCAGGGCCGGCACCTCTTTCTCACCACCGGAAGGGCGCCCCTCCCATTCCACCCTGTCTGTGTCTCAGTCTCTCCCTCCCTCTTACTCTCACTCCCTCACTCTCTTACTGTCATTCTCTCTGTCACTCACTCTCTCTGCAGAGTCTTGGTTGTAAGCAAATACAAGACTATTTATTGGGGAACATCAGCGTTAACTTCACCGCACTCTGCGTGGAAGGACAGCACCGTGGGTCTGTGGGTCCCGTGAGCAGTAGAACCACGGCCGTGGGCAGACGCAGCAGCGCCATCTCACGCTGGGGCCTGGCAGCATGGGGCAGCATCACTCGGCTACAAACAGCTGGAGTTTGCCGTCCAGAGTGGCGGTGACGAGCTGCAGAGGAGGAGGGAGGCCGTGAGGGGAGGGCTGCAGGCACATCCCCATGTGAATTGTCTGTAACAGCGGTCGCCAACCTTTCGGACCTCACAGACCTCAGGGACCACCAGTAGTGACCGCTGGTCTACAGCACAGACCTGCTTGCCGCCGCCACGCACCGAGCTCCCAGGGCCAGTTCCACCCAGGTCTCCGCTGTGAGCCGCCGAGGGCTCAGGGCAGCACCAGGGCTCCCAGGTCACGGGTACCTGCCCTCCTGTGGGTTCAGTCCTGCCCACAACGCTGCCCCCCCCACCTCCTTCCAGGGCAGCTGAGCAGGTCCTAGGTCCCCTGCCCTTCAGCTCAGGGGCAGGAGGACCCGGTGAGTGTGCCCAGGTCTCAGGGAGCTCTGCCAGTGTCGGGGGAGGGGGCAGAGTGCCACAGGAGGGGGAGAGCCCCACAGGAGGACTGAGTAGGGGTTAGAGGACGCCTCATTCTCCGAGCGCAGGAACCCCACTTTAACTGGAATGGGAAGAGACGCCATTGGGGGCCCAGCCCTCTGTGGCCCCAAGTGCACTCAGAGGGTCAGCGAGTGGGGCAGTGGGTGGGGCTCTGAGTCCCTGGCCTCCTCTGGCCTCTGGGCCTCTCTCCCTGCGGACGAGCCTGCCTGGATGCTGGTGGACTGGAGTGGGGGGGCTCTGGTGCACAGCGGAGTGGTGAGAGCAAAGCCGGGCCACGAGCGTGGTGTGGGGTGGCCGGCCTCTGCCTCGCCCCCTCTTGCAGGACTTGCTCCATTGGGGTCAGGCTGAAGCTAAAGGAAGATCCCTATCCCAGCCCGTTAAGTGCCTGCCCCTGAGGCTTTTCAACGCCCTTGTATTTTTTGCATTTCCTTTCATCAAATTCTCCATCACATCCCGCTATCTGCTCCTGTGGACACGTGATCTCGCTCAGGCCACCTGACCTCAGGGGGGGATGAGGTGACCCCGGGAAAAGCCCAGCTGAGGCTCCACTGAGGTGACATTGACCTGGTGCAGGAGGCGTTGGACAGGACTCCGACCCCACCTCTGCCAAGACAGGACCCCGCCCCTGCCCCCCTCCAGGCAGGCCCCTCATGCAGGGCCCCTCCGGGAGCCACACCCACAGGGTGGAGAGGGAGGGGCTACTTTGGACTAAGAGCCCGGAAGGTTCCACGTGAAGACGGCCTGGGGCAGAGGCGGGTGGGGAGGGCCCCCAATCCCGAGTGCCCCGTCCAGCAGGCTGCCAGGCTCGCTGGCTTCAGGGGAGAACCATTGAGGCCATTTCTTTGGATCAGAGCAAGAGCCGGCCTGCAATCAGCCTTGGAGCTCCCCAGATGGCCAGGAGCAGCCCGCGGAGGCCCCACACTCCCCCGAACCCGCCTCCGTGCCCGGATCCAGGGTAAACATTCCGCTCGCGGCTGCCCAGTCCCACATGTGGAAACACTTTGTGGTTGCCTCTGGCTGCTCGAGGCGGCGGTTCCAGGAACCCCATCCCAGTTCTGCCAGGTGGATGGTGTGACTCAGTGCCCAGCGGGGACCCAGGCGGGGACCTAAGCCATGCCCCCTCCCCTGCACATGCGGGAAGGGCCCACCCGCACCCGCACCTGCACCCACACCCACAGAGACTCCCGGCCGAGGCCATGAGGGCTGTGCTCGCCCAGGTGAGAGGCAGGGAGGCTCCCGCCACGTGGTGGGTGGGTGGGTGGGTGGGACTCGGGGCGGCATCCACACCCACTCCGGTGCTGACACCACCATCCCCGCTGTCCAGGGGTCCCCTCCTACACCCCTGCCTCCACCCACCTACACCCAGAGGAGCTGCTCCCAGGACAGCGGGCGGGCCTGGCCGGGCTGTGCACTTTGGACAGCTGGGCCCAGTGACCAGCAGTCACAGCAGCGTGACAACAGCACCGGCTCCATCCGGCCTGGCAGCGCAGGTGCCGGGGACGGGACTCTGAGCAGACGCTCCATCGGGACGACCTAGGCGGGCCCAGGACGATGGGGCCTCCCGTGGTAAACAATTCAGGAAGCACCGAGCACGGTTCGGGGAACAGGGTTCTTCCTAGGCTCCCTGAGCCTTTTGTTGGAAGGTAAAGTCCGCTTCATGCCTCGGGGTCGCGTAGGCACACGCGGCTGCTCACATTGTCTATTTTTGCGGACATTCTATTTTTGCGGAATTTCTGGAACCTGCCCAGCAACCCCACAGCCACGTGAAGGAAGGACGGTTCTCAATGACACGCTGGCCGGGGAGGGGCTGCCTGCCACCAGGTGTGGGTTCTGTGGGGTCACGGGTCTGGCATGGGCAGTGCTGACGGCTGCAAAGTTAAACATGGTCAGAGCAACCGCACCGCACAGTTAAGGGGTGGGTTTCGTGCCATGTCAGCTAAGTCTCAACAAACTACGTAACAAAATGCCTCCAAGGCACTTACAGATGGGACACAGCTGGACTGGCTGCAGTGACGGGGGCAGGGGCGGCAGGGGTGGGGGGGGCAGAACGTGGAAGCGAGGGCGAGGGGGCTGGTGGTAGGTTCAGAGGGCTGTCCCTGAGGTGAGGGCTGGATGCAGAGTTGAGGGTGAGGGCAAGGAGGCTGGTGGTGGGCTCATGGGGCTCTCCCTGCTCCTAAAGAGACTTGAAATGCTGCACCATGCCATTCCTTTTGGAAGAACTAAGTAAAACCTTATCAAAAGGGGGCTGCTGAGGAGAACTATTGCGAAGCCGCATAACAAAATCCGGTGGGCTCTGCGGGGGGACGGCTGTGTGAAGCAGCAGCCGAGCCCCTCACGCGACCGGCACTGCTCATCCCGAGGAACATGGGGATGATGGGCGCTGCCAGTCCCCTGGGCCACGCACAGGCACAGGCACAGCGGTGACCTTTAAATAACATTTAGAACAGATTATGTCCACTCGGAACAGTAGAAAATATAATGAACACAAAGTTCTCCTAAGCCTAATAAAAAAAAAAACCAGATCTTAGGTTTTCTTCAAAGTATCACAAACACAAAGATTATGGCTAAGATATGGAAAGGAGCTGATCCCGAATAAAAACTGGCGGATAAATAATTCACAGGAAGTGGAATACAAACGCCAGAGACGAAGCGGAGCCCGTTCGCTCCAGCCATGTGTGCAGGCAGGGGAAGGAGGCGATTCTCCCCAAAGAACTGAACCGGGCGCTCCGTGCAGCCCTTGCCGCCGGCCAGGCCGGCGCTCTACAGCGGATACGTTTAAATAGCCATTGTCACTGCTGCTGGAGACACTCCCTCATGCTCTGTTAGGAGACGGACAAGGTGACCCAGACCTGTTGGATGAACTCAACAATACTTGCTAAAAGCTGCTCAGGAGTGAGGGAACTGACTTGGCAATCATACGTCGAAAAGCATTCTGGGGGAACGGCCGCAGGAGCATGAGGTGTACAAGGGGTGCCTCCCACAGCTAGACCCCGGGGTCAAACCACCAGACACCCCTCGAATTCTATCAATGATGGTGCCGAGTACCCAAAGCCATCAGGTGGGAAATCAGGCTGAAGCCAGTCCGTGCACGTGCATGTGCTTGTACACACCTGTGCCCGCACACACTCAGGAAAAGCCTGTGAATTTACACGTATGTGTCTGTACACACCTGTGTGTACACACACTCGGGAAAAGCCTGAGAGTTTACACAGACGTGTGAGCAGCGACCTCTGTGCCTGGGAAGCGAGTGACCCAGAGCGGATGCCATGTTCCCGTTTGTGCTCGCTTTGTCTTCTCGGCATGTTTTCTACTGGGCCTCTAAGGAGTGGGAACATCTGGAAATAAGGTCACTTCTGAAGCAGGATGACCCCAAGGCGTCCCTGGGGTGGGTGCCTCTGGACTCCCCACAATGCCCATTCAATGCACACTGAATCCTGGCGGCTCCAAGCTCCTCGTCGAACAGGACCGCCTTTTCCTCGGGCTCGGGCTCGGGCTCGGGCTCCGGGTGAGGGAAGCAGAAGCGAGCGCTGGGCGCCCGGGATGAGTCACCGCTGCTGAGCCCATCGTCCCACAGGCAGAGCCGCGTCCGGGTGGCTTCAGAGCACGACGTGTCGTGTGCCTCCTCCTGGGCGTCACATAGCTGTCCACTGACTAGTCGTCCTGGAATAGAAACTAGTTGTGGTGTATAACCCACCGCCCTCCTGGCCTTGGGCAATAGCTACAACAAGGAAATGTGTGAGAGGAACCCTGTGTGCTGAAAAGGAAAATGCTGCAACCTATTTCAACAAGAATTCTTCAAGCTGGGCCTATAAATCACAGACAGGGAAACGGGGCTGAGCTGGAATCACTGCCAGTGGCCACATTCCTGTGCCATGACCGCAGCCAGCTGGAGCCGGGCCACATGGCCTGCCGGAGGCTGGCCAGAGCATCAGAACAGACTGGCCAGACCTCAGTCCACGCCACCGAGGATAATGGGAACCATATCCCGTGGTCTTGCTCAAACGCTGCAGCACAAACGGTTGCAAATGTGTCACTGGCAACACAGGCGCCCTGCCCCACCCATGGGCCGGCGCGCTGCCATGGAAACCCGTGGCCGCTCGACCAGGAGGACAGCCATGGCCGGAGGACCACAGTGAACACAGCCCCCTCCCTCCTCCACTGGTCCGTCTGTCCTGAGCTACAAACACCTCCTCCGGCATCACACTGCCGTCCTGTGGTCTCACACAAGTGCTGGCTGGGACGAGAGGGGAAGCTGACTCCCTGCAATGTTACAACCCAGGCCCAGACAGGCCACATGAGAAACGCCAACTGCTTGGGACGGAGGGACTCCTAGAAGGGGAGCGACCCTGCCTGTCACCGGGGGCCCCCGGCTGTGACGTCAACTGGACACCCAGGTCTGGGCACAAGTGGCATGCATGGGTGGCGTGTGTGAGCAGTGTGTGTGATTGGTGTGTGTGATTTGTGTGTGCGGATGGCGTGTGCAGACAGTGTTGGACTGCACCACTGACCTCACTGAGATGACTGCGCAGAGCAGACTGGCTCCATGAACCAAGACGTTTCCCCAGACACAGAGGCAGCATCTGCACGGGCTCTCGTGTGCGGGGACGCGGCACACGGACAGGCCAGTGCGTTGGGTGATTGGGGTGTGTTTGAGAGGAAACGAGAGGTGCTGTTAAAGGAGCAAGTCACAGAGCTACAGGAGCCACCTCCCTGCCCCGGGATGATGGGGATCCACCAAGGCCTGCAGGGAGTGACACAGGGACCGGGCAGAAAATGAGCCTGCCCATCCCCAAAAGGGTCCCTGACAAAGGGGGCCTGATGGCAACACGGGTCCCTACCACAGCAGGCCTGGCCAGGACCAGTTAGCAGCTCAGACATGCCCATCATACAGAGATCAGAGGAAAAACCACCGGCACTGGGACCCACATCTAGCCCACTGTGACAGGGCCACACACAACACTGAGGTCCATGTCCCTCCCACTACAACTGGGCCACACGCAATGCTGAGAGCCACGTCCCACCAACCACAACGGAGCCACATGCAACGCTGAGAGCCACATCCTGCCCACCACAACGGGGCCACATGCAACGCTGAGCCATGTCCTGCCCACCATGACGGGGCCACATGCAATGCTGAGAGCCATGTCCTGTCTACCACGATGGGGCTACACGCAACATTGAGTGCCACAGGTGACTTGGGCAGAAGAGACACCGGCTTGTCCACAGCAATAACTGGTGCTTTTTACCCAACGCCCGAGGGAGCCAACAACCCCACACACAACCATGTCACCAACTGGCCCTGGCCTCCAGGGAGCATGCATGCACATGTGATCTGGAAAAGAACCCTGCACAGTCTCGAGAAGGGGTGGGTGTGGACAGCTGGCCTGTTTGTCTACGGAAAAGTGTTGCCTCACGCTCAGAGCGCTGGCGTGATGTCAGAGGTGGCGGCATTGGCAGAGGAAGTCCTATTGCTGCTGTTAGTCTTTCCTAAACAGGTGCTCACACCTGTCAGGTCATCTACTGATGTGACGCACATCATCCTCTGTCCGTTACACCAGCCTTCTGTCCCTGGCGTAAGTCTCATGCTGATGGTAGGTAACCTTTACATGTTGCTGATTGGATTTGCTAATAATTTGCAGAGGGTTTTTGCAGCTATTTTTAGGAGACATTTGTCTAATTTTCTGCTCATTTTTTAATCCAAGTGATGCTGACCGCAGGGACTGAGGAGGTGTTTGTGAAGCGAGATCAGTTCTCCTTTAAATGGCTAGTGGTGTCACCATGAGCTCATCTCATCCTGGGACTTACTTTGTGAACACTTGTTATTACTTATTACAATTTAATGTCGTTACTTTTACACAACGATCGAATCTCGATCTCTTTCCACAACCTGTGTCTTCCTGGGGATCTCCCGTCACCCAAGCTCCGCCATGTCCTAGTGGGGTGGCAGCCACGTCCCCCGCCGTCCCAGAGTCCAGACATCTGAGTCTTTGCTTCTTCCTGGCTCAGCTCTGGCACCAACTCCTCACTTCCTTCCTTCAAAATTATAGATGTTCTAACGTCTGGGCATACAAATGTCTCACCCGGGTAGAAGGTGAAATTATGTGTATCTCCTACCCATCTATGAGAATATTTAAGTATGCAACATGTCTGTGAGTTCTTCTGTGAGCCGCTCAAAGTCTCATTTCATGAGGTGACTTCTCAGAAAACAAGATGGACACTGAGTCCTACGTGAGGCCAGCACAGCCGTGGAGAAGCAGCCCGAGGGCTCGGTGCCCATGGGGGCTGGTCTTCGAGAACGGCGCCCTGGTGCTGAGCAGTGGCTCTTCGCTTGGGCTGCAGACAGAGCCAGTGACCTGTGGCCCGTACAGCACGATGAGCTCTCACCACGTGGCCTTGCGGGCAGGACCGTGAGCGGAAACACCCGCATCCGTGTGGGAGGAGGAGCAGGCAAGCTCAGCACTCTCCTTCCCCTTCAGTAACTCCCTTTAAGACTCAAACACTATCATTGGGAGGACACTATAGGAATACCAGGAAGCTCACATACTTAATGCAGCAGCAGGGCGAGTGGACTCATCTGTTAGGTCTTTTCCTTCTTTCTTTCATGATCTGACATGAATCATGGAGCCAACGGCAACATTAAAAGCAGCAAGACCCTTTCCAGGCGCTCACCTCCCCCTGGGAGACACGGCGGTAACTTCCCCACGTGCTCACGCAGTTAAGCCCAGTGCGCTGGGGCTGGATGTGCGGGTGACGGCTGGGCGTGTGCTGTCTGCCCGACCCAGAACCACCCAGACCTGACCCCCTGCCCCGCCTTCTGGTGAGTGGGGAGCGGGCAACGGAGAAGCCGAGGGGAAGGTTGGGTGCAGTTTCCAGGCAGATTAGTGTTCCCAACGAATGAGCGATGACTGCAGCTTCCTCGCTCCCCCCCAGGTCCAGCTCTCGTCTCCGTGGAGCCCGCAGCCTTCCCTCAGACGCAGTTCCTTCAAAGGGATGAGAACCAGCCACCGCACTCGCACCGACAGCTTCCAGAGCGAGCCCCGCACAGCCAGCGTCCCAGCCGCCTTTACAGCGTCCTTGCCAACAGCCAAGAGGTTCCGTCCGTGCAGAGTGGAGCACTGAGCTCTGGTCAGTGAGGAGCCGGGCTCAGCAGGAGGCCTTCTCCCTTGGGATCCCTGATCAGCTCCGAACCAGAGTCGCCCGCATACACCTGTGTTTGGGCACGTGGCACCTTCCCGAGTCCGCAGGGCTCATCTGCCCCACAGCCTTCACGCTCAGCCCGTGAGTGCAGGCCCCAGCCTGGCTCTGAGCACCAGGTCATGGGTCATGTGTCAGATGAGGCCTGAGGGGCTGGCCTGGATTCTGAGCACTGGGCAGGAGGGGTGCAGGCCTCCAGGTGTGCACACCAGGACCAGCATCTGGGTCTGGAGGACAGAGCGGAGCATATGGCAAAGGCTGAGGGACAGCAGTGTCCTGAGAAACGGCCTGGAGCACAGAGGTCGCAGGGAGCGAGCACAGACAAAGCTATGACAGGAAGCCATGCGAGAGGTGAGGGTTCACCAGCTGCCCCAGGATCTCGGACCCCAGCCGGCTGCCACGGCCAGGACAGAGGCTTCGACCTCAGGGGTCTCCACAGTGTGGCACTGGCTCAGCAAGCTTCCCACAGTGCAGCCAGCGCGGGAGCCACCCACTCAGACCCAAAGAACATGCTTCTACTAAACAGGAGAAACAGGCCCACAGTGTGGGCCACGCCCCTGTGAGTGGTGACTACATCCCTGTGAGTGCTGGCCATGCCCCTGCAAGTGCTGGCCACGCCCCCTGCGGCACACACAGGTCTGAGAGGAGCAGACACTGGGGGTGCAGAGGGACCCTGCACACCTCCGTGCTCAGCAGCACATCAGACATAACCGACCTGTGTTCCCAGCTGGGTCTGTCCCCCGCTTTATCTCCCCCCCCCCCCAATGCCTGTGAGCTCTCCTAGGCGTTTCCACAGAGAACATCAGGCAAATCCCAGTAACGTGGGATTCAGGGGCCAAAGACCAGAGATAAAAAGGCAGAAAAAACTGGCCAAGCAGATGTGGCAGCAAAAAATCCTTCCCATCAACACAATTTTTAAGGCTGAGTTTAATAAAAATGAGTTTTTTGTTCCTTATTTTAAGGTTTAAAATCCAAACCATGAGGAAAGAACACCTGTTTTTCACATTCATGGCTGGCTTCATTGGAAGAAATTTAAAGGGCCTTGCCTGCCCGGTAGAGGGCAGATGCCAGGCTCAAAGGGGCAGCTCCTGTCTCACGAGCCCGCAGGAGAGCTGGGCAAAAGCGCCCTGCGGGGCAGGACTGGGCTCTACCTTTGCAGTGGAGCTGCTGGGCTTCTGCTTCTCTGGGGCACCCAGGGCCCACCTCTCCCCGTCCCTGCTCCTGACATTGCGGAGGTTGGCGCACACACACACACACACACACACACACACACACACTCCCCATGGGAGCCCTGTGGTCACCAGCAGAACAAGCTTGGTGCATTTCCCAACATTTACTAGACAAGGCGGCAGATGTGGCGCCAGACAGTGCCCTTGCCCTCTGCGGGTGGACAGGACGCAGACAGTACCCCCCTGCACGGACAGGACCCGCCTGCGTGAACAGGACCACCCTGCACGCAATCTCAGCGGGCACATGGTCTTACACAGCATAAACCTCACCAAAACCATGTCCAACAGACACTGGAGGCGAGGCGGGACCTGTGGGGAGAGGCCCCTGGCTAGGGAGGCTGTACCTGAGGGGCGGATGGGCTGAAGGCCACCCCGCTGACTGTGTCCGTGTGCCCCGGCAGCCGGTGGGAGAAGGTGCTGGAGCCCACGTCATACACGTATGCCTGGAAGACACGGCCAGGTGTTCTGTGGGAAGAGCCAGCATGCAGCTCACTGAGGCGAAGGTGAGGAGACCCTGCTGTGCGCGTTTTAAAGTCATGCTCTGTTTGAGGTCATTCGAAGGACAGTCAGGTTTTGTACCCCAGCCTCTAAGGGATGGCCCCTGGTGCCAATTCAGAGCCAACAGGAACCGCCAGCCAGGGGTGCGGCGAAGAATGGTGCTGCTCAGCAAGCAGCTCAGTGATGGCCAGCAGGGGGTGGCGACAGCACAGTCGGGTGAGGCCGCCCGGGCCCCAGGCTCAGAGAGGTCAGGCCCTCAGGTCCCCACCACGCCCACAAGGGCTTCGAAACTGCCATGGCTGCCAAGGTGAGTCACCTCTCATTCCCACCCAAGGACAACACCCTCATTCCTCTGGAGGCTCCAGGGGCCCAGGCTCCCTCTTGCCTGTGGTCCAGGTTACACAGGTGGGGGAACTATGACACCTCTCTGCATCTGTTGTTTTTAATGGTAGAGTACAGAGGTTAGTGACTGTAGCAAACATGTACTGAGCAGCAACTTCTATATAATTGCTCATCTAATCCTCTCTGCAGCCAAATGGAGAAAACAGCATGATTGTCCCGATCCCGCAGGCCAGGGATAGGGGCCGGCAGTCTGCTGGGGGCTGGCCGTGCTGAGAGGCAGGCGCCATTGGGACAGCTCCAGTGGCTCTGGGGTGTCATCACTCAAGGGAGGAGGTGAGACTCGAGGCCCACAAGGAGGGGACAGAGTGAGGAGGGGGCAGAGCGTGGAGAGAAGCCCAGGCCAAGGGGGCTGGACCCTCCTTAGAGCCTCTGGGCGGGAAGGGGGCGGCGATCTCCCAACACCTGAGTCGGACCCAGGGCCTCCAGGCTGCAGGGACCAGGGTCTGCTGCTGGAAGCTGCTGAGTTTGGGATAATTTGTTACCACATTCCTTAAGATACTACACAAGACCTTCCCAAATAGGTTAAAAACAAATGGATAAAATTAGTATTTATTCCAAATTCATCCTAGGGTATGTGTCTCTTTATTTATTAACTAGAGGCACAGTGCACAAATTTGTACACTGGTGAGGTCCCTTGGCCTTGCCTGAGCCCTCTTGCAATCCAGGACCCCTTGGGGGATGTCAGTCTGCTGGTTTCAGCCTGATCCCTGCAGGCCAGGCCAAGGGACCCCACCAGTGCACAAATCAGTGCACCAGGACTCTAATGTGCATATAAGATCTTTGGTTAATTTCTCCCCACCCTCCCACCTTCCCTCTGAGATTCATCAGTCTGTTCCACATCTCCATGCCTGTGTGTTGAGCATCTGCCACCTGGTGGTCAGTGTGTGTCATAGCTACCTGTCGAATGGTTGAATAGTTGCTTAGGCTTTTATATATATATATAGATGTCGCTATCTGGGAGTCACGCACAGTGAGTCAGAGTGAGGAAGGAAGAAACCATGTGTACCAACGTCACCCTCTCCCCACAGGGATGTCCAGCCCCTGGGTCTAAGACCAACACATACGTGTCTGTCCTCCGCACCACATGCCACAAAGCGCCCGCAGGGGCTGAAGGCAATCCCACACGGGAAGCAGCGGGTTGGGTGTCCTTCGAAACGGCGCTCACACCTATGAGAAAAATAAAAGAAACACCAGGAGAAAAAAATTTTTTTTCATTTTTAACCCAAATTAGGATACTGACCTGTTGCTTTTCTTCACATAAATGAACAAACAAATAAAAACATTTTTATATGTGAAGATTATTAGACACTGAGCAGGTTATTCTAGAGATCCTCAAAAGTAATTAAAAGACTTCAAAACCATAAATTCTCAAAGATGACCAAACTAACATTAGTCAAGCTTTTTATATATGAAGACTATTAAGTGATAAGTATATTCTGGAGATCTTTAAAAATATAAAAACCTCCTTTTAAAATAAGTTATATGAACCAAAACCGGTTTGGCTCAGTGTATAGAGCGTCGGCTTGGGGACTGAAGGGTCCCAGGTTCGATTCCGGCCAAGGGCATGTACCTTGGTTGCGGGCATATCCCCAGTAGGGGGTGTGCAAGAGGCAGCTGATCGATGACTCTCTCTCATCGATGTTTCTAACTCTTTATCTCTCTCCCTTCCTCTCTGTAAAAAAATCAATAAAATATATTTTAAAAAATAATAATAATAAAATAAAATAAGTTATTTGAATCAATAATTCAAAGGCTGTTGGAAGGTGCAACATTCTATCAAGGCTGGTTAAGTTTTACAACCAACTGTTAAGAGAGCTACTAAGACTTGTTTATTGAAAAAACAAACAACAACAAAAAAAAAAAACACACAGCCGAAGCCAGTTTGGCTCAGTGGTAGATTGTAGGTCTGCGGACTGAAAGGTCCCAGGTTCAATTCCGGTCAAGGGCACGTACATTGGTTGTGGGCACATCCTCGGTAGGGGGTATGCAAGAGGGAGCTGGCAGATGTTTCTCTCTCATAGTTTCTAGCTATCTCTCTCCCTTCCTCTCTGTAAAAAAAATCAATAAAATATATATTTTTTAAAAAACAAACACAAAAACAGCCCACCAGCGTGGCCCAATGGTTGACCATCGACCTGTGAACCAGGAGGTCACAGTTTGATTCCTGGTCAGGGCACAAGCCCAGGTTGCAGGCTCGATCCCCAGCGTGGGACATGCAGGAGGCAGCCGATCAGTGATCACTGATATTTCTCTCCCCCCCCACACACACCTTTCTCTCTAAAATCAATAAAAATATATATTTTTTAAATTTAAAACAAAAGTAAGGGAAATGGAGCTGGGTTTATTGAAAAAATCGCCCACCTTTTGGAACAGCCAGAGCCAACACTCAAAGGGAAGACGAGAAGCTGTGGTTTTTCCACATTTATGTGACCTTTTCTGGGAATAAGTCACTTTTCTGAGAAGGTCAGTGTGAACAGACTCCCCCAACCTTGTCAGTCTGCGTTCACAGCGTGCACTTCAATAGACACATGCCCTGTGTTCCTGGCCTCCCCCATGTCCCAACGGCACACCTCCCCCCAGCACACCTGCTCCCCCTGCACCTGTCCCCCCACACCTGCCCCCCCCCCCCATAGCTGCCCCTGCACAGAACAACGGCCTCACCTCAGGGTTCTCAGGTCCCACAGCCGGACCCCGTCACCCACGGCGGTGGTTGCGAAAAGGTTATAAGCCTGAGGCGGCTGGGTGGTGGATGGCGACCCCTGTGGGTGCAAGGGGATCAGATGCGTGTTCTGTAGATGGAGCTAGTCACCACCACGCTGCTGACAGCCAGCAGGATGGCATTCAAGTAATCACAGACATTCCCAGAAGCTTTTCCCTCACTCATAACAACTTTACAACTGGACTCCAAAAGCTTCCATACGAACAATTAGTTACCCACGGTGCACTGTGACCTCAGCTTAGCGATGTACATTTCCTCACAGAAAGCCAGGAGGTCACAGGACAGAGAAAGGATGCATTGGAAAGGATGGGTCACCATCCCTGTTTGATGACATGTGACCCCAGGCCCTCGCGCCTATGTAAGGTCTCAGGCATCAGCATGTGTCCCCTGCACACTGCTGAGGACCTGCCTCTTCCTGGTCACTGCCCAGGAAAGACCTCCCTGTGGCCCGGGCCTCCGGATCACGCCCCTCTCTGATGGGCAGTGCGGGGACCTGCCTCTGCCCAGTCACTGCCCAGGAAAGACCTCCCTGTGGCCTGGGCGTCCGGATCACGCCCCTCTCTGATGGGTGGTACAGGGGACCCAGATGAGGCACCGATACCTGGATGACAGCCTGTGACCCGCAGAGACCTCATGCAAACACAGTTGCCAGGTCACAGCCTGACCTCAGGCTATGCATTCGGCTTAACCTGCCACATGCCAGATGCATCTAACGTCAGACCTGCGGCGGCTGTCACTCCGCCGTCAGGGCTGTCACTCCCTCGTCAGGGCTGTCACTCCGCCGTCAGGGCTGTCACTCCGCCGTCAGGGCTGTCACTCCCCCGTCAGGCTGTCACTCCCCCGTCAGGGCTGCCTGACCCTCGCCAGGCCCTTGTGAGGAGGTTTGACTGGGAGGCCCCAAGAGGCTCGGGTAGCCATCACTGTCCAGCACACAAATATTCACCCTCATGATGTGAAAATGCCTCCAGGGCCCACATCCAGGCTCAGCCAACTTAATGACCGACAGGAACTACAGGAAGTAGCCTTGGGTTTGGTGGGAAACATACAACTGCACTTGACAATTGCACTGCTGACAGCCTCAGACGTGGCATTTCAGTTGCTACCCAGGCCCAACCTCACTCACCTGGTTCTGGCAGATCTGGTGGGCGGGCCGGGAATGAACTCCCTGGATCACGGCAGCGCTGCGGCCTGCGTTGAGGTCGAAGATTTCCACTGTCCGGCTCCGGCTGGTGGCCAGCACTAGGTCTAGGCTCCGTTAGGGAACGTCTCTCTAAGGTCCACCCCCCATGCTGGCCCTGCCTCTCTAAGCTGGAGGTGGGAGGGCAGGGGCGGGAAGTGCTGAGGACAAAGGGGAGGCCCGGGCAGAGCAGATTTCGAGGTGAAAAACCAGGAGATAAATGAGGGGAAGACTCAAATCAGAGCTGCTCAGTGTGCTGCGTGTGCAGGAGGGGCTGGCGCTGAGCTGGTCTGAGGCTGGCAGTGGCCGCATGGCCGCGTCCGGGACACGTCACAGGTCTGAGGGATCTGAGGACTATTTATGGGCTTAGGGGTCACATGACCCTACAAACAACCCAATTGCCAGTGCTTAACCAGACAGCAGGAAAATCTACCAAACCCCTGAAAAGCGCCATCAGGAAGGGGCACAAGGTGGTCCCACTCGGGGAGCAGAGCAGAACCTCCACATGGGGCAACCACAGGCACAACAGCACGCTTCTGCAGAGGCTGTCAGTTCTGTTTCTAGCAAAAGATTCTGGAATAAAAATAACACATATCTAACAGAATATTCTAGAACCTCCTAACACCATAGGACAGTCCTTAGGAAATTTCAACTACAGAACTCTGCAAAAGAATTCAAATGAGGCCTCTGAATAAATTAAGAAGTTATAAAATAGATTCCTGAGATTTTGTTTTTTGCTTTTAAGTAGTTTTAAATCGATGCTTTTTAATAAAAAGGGGTGGTGTTAGCCCTAAAAACTAAAAAAGTAAAGCTTTGGGTCCTGTATTATGTCCCATGAATAGCAGCTGTTTGGAGGCATGTGGAGTGGGCCTGGCCCCGCTACATTACGTCATGTGAAGCCGACACGCGTGTGCCGCTGGTGTCAGAGGCACTGCTGGCCCCTCTCTCTCTGAGGCTCTCCCTGCTGAGATGAACCGTCACATCGCTCACATCAGTTCCCCGGGACCTGGCTCCGCAGTGCCATGCAGGGCGGAGCTCGGACGCTCAGCGGTGTGGGGAGGCTGGGCTCGGGCCGCAGCCGGGAGGAAAAGGATACGGGAGTAAAACTCGTTGGGGGCGGACAGGCCGGTGATCTCCGCGGCCCCCGTTGTGGGGAGCCGGAACACGCGGGTGCACCTGCTCCTCTGCTTGTACCTGGAACACACAAGAGGACCAGCCTATTTCCCTCCACAGCTAAAGTCCCCCTGTGAAACACTGGCCTGTTAAAAGGTGTTCCTACCCCCAGTATAATCTCGTTTCATGATGAGGGAATGGGAGTCAGCCACCTGACTGACTTACAACTTCATGAAAAATACCATCATCTCCAGCCACAAACACGGCACTGCGTCCATGAGAAAGCACGTTCCCTCCATTCTAATCGCGAACCTGGGAGGCATCCCGCGGGAATGGGACAAACACCGTCATGTTTCCGAGAGGTTTCATGGCGGGTCTCGGCCTTGGCGCAGACTGCGCGGAGCACTGCCCCAGGGGGGCGTGGCTGCGTCAGGGTGGCCAGCCTGGCCCCGGTGGGGAAGGCCTGGGGCCTTGGCAGGTACAGCAGGTGACAGGGCAGGGTTGCTGGGGGCTCAGTGAGGACAAACCAGGCCATGAGCCAGCCTTCAACGGACAGGTGAGTGTGGGGTGTGGTCTGGGCCGGGACCCGCAGAGCCAGGCATGGAGGTGGGCGACACGGGTGTCCTGGGGGCAGGAAGGACGCCAGTGTACGGGGACCAGCAGGGGCAGCTCAGGCTCCAGGGCAAAGTGGGCGGAGTCCCGGGGTCGGGCATGAAGCTCAGGACGGGCGTAGAAGCAGGAGGCACGGTAACGTGAGGCCCCCAAGTTTGGGTGAAAACTGTGTCAGTGCAGACACTGCTCCCCACATCGCCTGTCGCTGGGACACTTCCTCCCACTGCAGAGACGAGGCCCTGGCGGGCCACCCACCTTCTCAGCTCGTCCCTGTGGGGGTCCAGGTGGTGCCGGAGCAGCTGGAGCTCGGGGCCCGAGGACACGAGCATGAACGAATCGAGGTAGTAGAACTGCACATGGTGCACCGGCTCCGGGAACATGTCTGTGCCCTGCAAAGCACATCACACCGTTACCCACACGCTACCCTCACGTCGCCCTCACACTTATCCACTCTAACCAACGTTCTTCCGTCTTCACAGCTGGCATCCGCCTGCTCTAAATGTCAGACAGTCTGCTCAACCAGTTTACGTTTGTTCCTTCTCCCTCCCTCCCTCCTTCTGAAAGGTGCTGTGACTAGACTTTTCTGTCATGAGTGTTTTGAAGTCTGGCCATTGAAAACTTTAAAATGAAAGACACATAAAACTTGGCAGCAAAGATATTAAGTATCAAGGATTTTGTTAAAGCCAAAACCTTACACAGGTTTTAAATGTAGTTGTGAGGGGCCCACACGCTCACATTTCACAGCCCACACATGTGGCCGTCACACCCTCCTTGAAGCCTGTGCCCGACCCTGGAGCCCTCACCCGACTTGAGCTCCCCCCGCCCCCGCCGCCCCCTTGGCCTGCTGTTGTCATCTGCCATCCTGTCCTCTCCCATCTCTCCTCCCAATCCGCTTCCAAATGATCCGCAGGTTCACTGAAACCAGCTGTTTTCTCCCCAAAAGGCACTTCCTCCCTATTCCACGCCTGGGCTGTTGTCACTGCCTCCACCGCACACTCACACTCAATGCACATGTAAAGGTCTCCTGCATTTCAGTGTTAACAGCTTTGCCATCTCAAGACCTTAACAAACGAATGGCATGTTTCACTGCATGTATGTGTGTGTTGCACGTGTGTCCACTGTGAGTTAAGAACAGTTTAGTCACTAATTTCAGTGCCTGAAGCAAACTCCTGGTCTCTCCGTTTCCCACCTCCTGGCATGGAGAAGGGTCTACCAGACCACCAGAATCGCCAGGAATCACTGCTCACCAGGCACAGGACAGGCTCCCGGCTGCGGGCCAACCACACCCTCACCGTCCCGTCCAGGGAGGCCGACAGCAGCCACTGGGCATCGTGGCTCCAGCCCAGGGTGCTCACTGCCCCATCGTGACCTAAAGGAGACAGGTGGGGGGTGGGGGGGGACGCGAGACCAGGGGACCAGGAGAGACAGGTCTGATTTGATTGGTTCTGATCAGTTCTGACAGGACCCAAGAAAAGATGACTCTGCTGCTCCCTGGTGGCCATTCAGGGAGTTTCTATCTTGCTGCTGCTGAGCTGACAATGGTCACTGGTAATGGATGGCAGTTGAGGCTCTGCACCACTGCCTAGGTGCCCAGGTGCCCGGATGTCCAGGTGCCCGAAGATCCAGGTGCTGCCCCCTGAGCAGCCAGGGGAGGGAGGCCCACCCACCGTCCAACTACAGACCTCCACACGCATCCTCTTTCCAGCCAAGTGGCTCCCTCTCCTGGCTCAGGTCACCCTGACTCCCTCACCCACACTCGGCAAAGAGCTGACAAGGCTACAAGCCAGAGGGACGCCTGCCCACGGGAAGTCACCACGTGTAACTGGGCTCCGGCCACAGCTCTGGGCCCACAGGTGACTCCACTCTGGGTGGAGGGGCAGGCTCAGCAGAGGTCAGGGCTTAAACCTCACTGCTTCCTCCCCCAACTCAAGTCCGGTTCTGCTCTGGTCTTGTCTCAAAGGAAGCAGAAGTGGCCTCAGTGATCAACACCAGCGGGAGAGACCACCGTAAACCCATGGTGACCGGGGCGCATGTCTCACCCGAGAAAACAGCAGGTGCTCCAGTCAGATGGGCATCAAAGACCAGGGCCAGGTGGTCGGTCAAGCCACAGGCCAGCCGACGCCCGTCTCCTGCTCTCAGGAGAAAAGCAGAGACCCGTTCAGGTGACGGATCGTTCCCTTGCGAAGTGACAGGATGGAGACGAGCAGGTCCTGGCTCCCCTCCCGCTGAACCCAGCCCTGAGGCCGCTGGGCTTCGTCCACAGGGAGCCGGGCTCAATGCTGAGGTGCCAGGGTGGGTCCGAGCCCGTAACTCCCTGGACCACGGGCTCCGCCCTGGGATCGTGCCGTCGGCCACCCCCGCAGACTTGTAAGTGGCCTGTTTGCTAAGCAGTTTGGTCTTCCATCTCCCTAAGAGGAGGGAGAAATCAGCTACGACTTTCTCCAGGATGTTCCGACTGCAGACCCGACCTCACAATCCCACGCCCAGGAACAGCGTCCAACGTCACAAAGACCGTCGTTCCCTGCTAACCTCCAGCTCTCACCTCCCAGGTTACCCTCAGCGTCCTCGGCTGGAATTCCATGAAAAGCAAAGGGGACGCTGCATGGCTGTAACCAGCCTCAGGAGTCCACCCGTGGCACTTGGGCAGCGGCTGGCCACACACTCGAGGAGGTGGCTCAAGTGTAGCACCGGCCAGGCCCTGCCTACCACGGACCGAGGGCAGGGCCTGGGGACCAGCATTTAATCTGAGAAAAGCTGAGCTCCGTGAGATTGGGAGCTGCTGAGGAGAGCCACCTCCTCTTCCCTTCCAAATCCATTAGGAAAACGCCGGGCCAGGAAGGAAGTCTGGGAGGGGTCTCGATGCCCCTGAGACAGGACAACTGCCACAGAGGTGAGTGGCCTGGCCTTGGAGGGCCAGCGCTGACGGACACACAGTCCCCGCCTGTGGGCCCCTCCGCCCGCCAGGGGACCGGGAGGGGCTGCTTTTCCTCCCCACACAGACCCTCCGAGCAGCCTTCCCCCCACCCCCAGCCCACCACGTGAGGAGAGCCTGGAGTGCAGACAGAGCCCAGGCTGTGCGCCAAGCTCTGCACCTGCTCCTCCCACATGCGGGGCAAGTGCTGATCTCGGTCTAAACCCAGCACTGCCCTTCGGTTCCAGGCCACCAAGGTGGCGAGTTCTCAAGGTCGCTTAAACTCCATGCACAAGGGAGCACCTCCCACCGTACCTGAGAACTGCACGCAGCGCACGGCCACCAGGCCCTGGGCCACAGACAGCTGCCTACGGAGCCGGGTCGGCGCGGGGCTGTCCGAAGGGTACTCCTGACTGAAGAGGCGGAGAGGACAAAGGTCAGGAGGGAGTCAAGGTGAGACAGGAACTAAAACGCACTGATCTCCCCGTTTCTGCATCCACCCATCTACATGGATTCAGATGCACAGAAACTCTTACATTCAACACCATGACATGACTTGGGACAGGCCAGCATTCCTTCATGCCAAGACGCATGTGTTTAAGCACAAAACGCCAAGTACTGGCCACATGTACATGGCCTGGCGGGACTCCGTGACAGCTCGGGGTGGGGGGAGGAGGAGGGCTGGTTCTGCTCTGAGTGTAGACCCTGTGGGTGGTGTTCCCGACATGAACTGCTCCTCCGTGAGCAGATCAGCACCTTCCCAGCTTTTAAAAGAAACCAGGGACAGGCTGAAGGACATACATAGATGTACACACATTAGTGTGCACATGTACATTCCTGTGTACATGTACATACACAGAGACACATATAGGTCTACACCTGTGTGAAAAGTCAGTGAACTGTTGAAAGGGTTTCTCCAAATCACCACATTTACTCAGAGGGTAAGCCAGCTGCCCACCAGGGGTGAGTGCTCCTGCGTTGTGAAGGTCTCTGACAGCCTCTCTTGACACTGGTCTTGGGTGAGAACATGGTCATGCTGCAGAAAGGAAACACTCACGTCAGCCTCCGAGGTCATAGGCCGCAGCTTCTTAAGAGAACAGTGAAAGGCACAACAATACACACGTGCCACCGTGCCCAAGGCAGTCACACACAGAGCGACTGAACTCTGAGACACTCAGCACTGGCCATGCGTGCTGGGAAACGCACTGCACTGGGTAGCAGTGTATTACACGGGAGGTGCTGATCTTGCCACCCCGGAGGAGCCAGAGGGGTGGGTGTGGCCAGAGGCGTGACTTTGTACTGACAGAGCAGGGCCTGGCCACTCTGCAAGCACCACCCAATGGGCCTTGGGGCAGAGCCCCTGGGGAGGAATGACAGGGAGGCTGGAGTGGCTACAGGGGACAGTCAGGGGAACATGGCAGAGGAGAGGTCAGTGGGGACGAGTCAACCAGGGCCCCCAGGCTTCCAGCTCATAGGCTGTTTCGTGACCGGGTTCAGAACAGACAAAGGGTCAAGATTTGGAGGCAGTGTCTGCTTCTGCGACACACGGGCCCTGAAGCACCAGGACCCACGGCTGCTGCACCTGAAAGTCCTCTCGAGCCCTCAGACAGCACCCTTGCACCCCAGCTCCCTGCCCGCCTCCCCCTCGGCCCTCAGACAGCCCCCCTGTGCCCCAGCTCTGGGTACAGCCATTTTAACACCTGTGGTCAGAACAAGGCTGCAGTCTGGGGGGAACAGTGCAGACAGGCGTCAGGCCATATCCCTCCTCACAGGTGGTTAGTTACCACCACTGCGGCCAGGCAAGGACCCAGGGGCCGAGGGGCCAGTGCACAGTGAGCGCTCTGCTGCATGGCTGTGCCGGGCTGACCCTGTTCTAACTGCAGCGCCTGCCCGTCTCCCATCCCTGCACTGTGGGTGCCCTCAGGGCACACTAAGCATCAGCTACCGTCACCGTCCTGCTCCCGTGGGAGCGGCTGAGCCATCTACTCACTGGGGCGCAGCCGTGTAACCGGAGGACCGGACGCGGCTGTGGAAGACCAGGGGCTGGTCCCGCGAGATGCTCTGAGCAGCTGGCAAGGCGGTTAGAGAACGAGAAAAAACATCTCATGATACATCGACTCCCAGCGCCCACCAAGGCGCTCTGCTGGCCCCTGGAGAAGCAGCGGTTCAGGAGAAGAAACACTAGCGCATCCCGCATAGAAACACTCGAGGGGCAACAAAGGGCCTGGACACCCCTCCCAACACACACACACACACCACCGCAGCACACGACACTAAGGACAACAACATCAGTATTTTCATGTTCCTGTTTCATGTCACACTGACCGGCTTGGTGGCGGCCGGCCAGCTTGATATGTGTCCCCTCGGCGGCTCCGAAGTACAGAGGGGAGGTTGGCGAGACCCCGGAGCTACAAGCAGAGAACTGCACCGTGGGAGCTGTTTCCACAAAACACGGGCTGAGGGCAGTCACAGACTAGCCCCTGAAGGTGTGGCATGAACTGGGAGAAGAGGCACCTCACAAGCTTATTGTCATCTTCCCAAGAAGTGAATTTGTATTTTAATAAAAACACAGTTTTATAATCTGCACTCTATCCTGAAATACAACGTGTTTCACATTAAAATAAACTTAAGGTTAGTAAAGTAGGGAGCTTACTGAACTTTGCTCTAAATTCTACCAACTGATACACAGGCACATAGAGCCCTTAACTGCCAGACCCACCTGAGAAGACCCACCTGGGCAGCACTGAGAGCTGCATTCCCAGGTGCCGGTGCTGCTGGGACCTCACCAGAGCAGCTGGGTCGACCTCCAAGCCGGTGATCTCGTTCCCAAACATGGAGGCGAGTAAGCAGAAGGCCTGCCGGGTGGTGACAGAATGAGAGACTGACTGTGGTGCCACCGTGGACGAGCGAGCCCCACACAGTGCACACAGCTATCACCACAGGGAGCTGTGTCCTCGCAGCCGCTGTGCTGCCAGACGGATGGGTGGGGAGTCCGCACAGCACTGTGGCTCTCATTACTTCCCCACGAAGGCCTCCTGGGAAGTGGGCATGTCACACGTGGAGGAAAGGGAGCACGAGCACGCAGACGGACAGATGGATGCCCCAGATGCTAAGGACAGGAGCGCCAAGGACTGACCTTGCCACAGCTGCTCATCACAGCACACGACCCGGCCACCTGAATGCTGAGGTCCTGAAAATCTGAATTTTCACAGAGAAATAAGCAATGTTTAAGGGCTTTCTGCCCTAAAACTTCCTCCCCACAGCAGTCACAGATAACTTAACATGATGGTAAATGTCCGTGGAAGGTGATTAGAATCCGAGCTCACCCTGGTAATGCAGGGCCGCCTCCAGCTCAAAGTTGGCCAGGTTCAGTATGAACATCCCCGTGGAGCTTCCGACCCACACGCAGCTGGTCCTCTCCGGGGACAGGCTGCAAAGAGAGGCACGTGGACGGCCTTATCCGTGAGCTCAGTTCCATGGTGTCGTCACTGAACGTGACCAGTGCTCCTGTGAGCACTGTGGAACCGCCGAGTCCGAGAGGGGCCTCTCCGGGACGCTGCGGGGAGTGTGCCTGCTGCCTACAAGCTCTGAGCCACATGCACCCATAGGGGCTTGTGCCAGAGGGTTTGGGTGACCCTGGAATCCAGTCTCTGGTGCTGATCTGCGACATCTGTACTTCCCTGAGGTCACAGAGGTCAGTGCTGCCCCCACAGGACAGTACACACAGGCAGCCCTGTGAGGCCCTGCCCTCTAGGGCAGCTTTGCACACAAGAAGCCAACTCGGAGGAAGTACCCAAAGCAGCAGAGCACCAGCACAAACACAGCTCCGCTGCTTCCTGTTTTCAGTTTACCTGCCAGATGCAAGTCCTCTGTGACGGTGCGCCCCCTGCTGGCTAGGCAGGCGGGGACGCAGGGCCTCCAGGCCCCATCTCCCTCCAGCACCTGAGGGCCCATCAGCCAGGCACCAGCCTGTCACCAGGCTCCTCCAGCAGCCCAGCTTTCCGGGACGCATCCCGGTGTCCTCACATCCAATGCCAGACCACAAAGCAGCGAGCCAGTTGTCCTGGAGGGAAACTGGGTCCAAAACGCAGTACAGACCCTTCCCTCACTGCCCAGCCTGAGAGATGAACTCCAAGGTCTAAGACCCTGTCACAGTCAGCTCAACTGCCCGCCAGCGGCTGCTCCGCTCGACCTCCAGCCATGGTGCCACCAGCAGGGGCATCTGGGGAGATGGGGCACCCCAGCCAGGCCACAGGCAGCGCTGCAGCCTCCCCCACCCTTCCTCCTGTGAGGCTGGAGTCCTTATCACGTCCGAATCCTCCCACGCTCCATGCCGCAGGTGAACACACTCACCGCCTCCCTGTTAATCCCAGTGAGACAGCGGCTCCTTGTGCTGCCAAGTACCTGTAACATTTCTACAAACTCGGAGGTGAGAAAGCTCCTCATTACTGTGTCGTGGTAACGCAGACACACGGCATACACAGTGCAGACTGACATAGGACTATGCTCCCTTCATCCACCACACAGGCCAAGAGCTGCCAACACTTATAAGCAACATTAAAATAACCCATTTCTCATACAAATACATGGACGTAACTGACCAAGTTTACCAACCTGAAGACCTGAAATAGCTAACAACATTGACAGCTACAGACACCGAAATGGCCGGGTCGTTCCCATCACTTGAGAAGCCAACCTGCCTCCAGAGGTTCCTCCCGGGCCAGGCCAAGCAATCACTCACCATCCACACCCGGGACCGAGGCCCGGCGGCAGGTCACAGTGCGCCAGGCTCAGGATGGGGAGCGCCACGTCGACCCCGTCCCCTCTATCCAGCCCCCTCTCTCCTGGAAGAGCCAGCGACAACCCACATGGAGGGGAAGCATGGGGTGGGGGGCGCTAAAGTATGGGGGGGATAGACTTAGATGCTGGCCGTCAGCCGATCGGGCCGAGGGGCACGGGGCTGCTTCCTCAGAGAGGACAGGAGGCTGGGGGCGCGGGCGTCCAGTACAGGCCGCCGTGGGGCATAGCGGTTTGAGCTTTCCTTCATGAGAAACGGGTACTGACAGAAGGAATCACGAAAGCCAAGCCCAAAAGCACTAGGAAAGGCAGACACTGGATAAAGGCAGTTCCTGAGGGTTTTAAAGAGAAATGGCTAGTCATCGGAAAGCAAGAAACACAGCTGAGCGGGTGCTGCCCTCAGAGGTGCCGGCAGAGGTGGCTGCCGCCCGAGCCTCGGACAGCACTCCCGCAGGAGGCCGCTGACTACAGGCAGAACCAGCAGCACGCGGGACCGGAGCCCTGGGCTGGGGGGAGGCAGGGGTAAGGGGTGGGGGGGTGGGAAGGAGGGAAACAGGTGATAAGTAACAGGGCAGGCGGGGCCCATCCAGGTGGAACCAACCTGAGTGAGGGCGCAGGCTGCTTAGCGAGGAAAACCCACTGCGGCTGGAAGGCGTTTACCCTGAACCCTCATCGCCATGACAACCACCCACAAGAAGTGTTCACTATACCCTCCCCCTGACACCATCCCAGACCTGCGGTGCCCGCAGAGGCCTGAGGTCAGGACTTGTCCTTGCTGTGACCCCTCCTGCCTCACATCAGGGCCAGAGGTGAGAGGTCAGGGGCATCACCTGGCCGGCTGGCGTAGAAACTCTCCATCTCTTTCCTCAGGTCCACACGCGTCACTTGACGATAATGATGACCTTCCACCAAACTGAAGATACACAGCTGGCGAAAGAGATGGGTGCCTCACCTGTGTCAGCGGACGCAAGGGAAGGCAGGGAGAGCCCGACGAGGGATGAGGGTGGGAGCAGCCCAGAGAGAAGGTACATGGCCCTGGGGTCCCCGAGTCTCTGCCCTGGTCTGAGCCCCACCCACGGCCCCCGCTGACCATGGCTGAGGGCACTGTATCGGGTGTGGGCATCGCACAGGCCTCCGCAGACCCCCTGCAGCTCCCCCAGGTGCACGCCACCAGGGCCCGGGCGTGCAGGGTGACAGCGGTTACCCAGGTGCGCCAGGTATGCCCTCACCTGGCCCTCGGCACCCCCGGCCACCAGCTGCTGGCTCTCCCCATCGATGAAGAGGCTCAGGACGGGGGAGGCTGGTAGAGGAAGAGATGGTCGTTACCCTCAGGGCACTGGCACAGTTCAAAGGAAACTATCAGCTTCGCTTATTCCTTCAGTCAATTCCGACTGTTCTGACACACTTCTCCACAGGAAGAGGAACACGAGTGCAGCTGTGAGCTCTCCTGAGTGCCGCCGGCAGGGTGACCGTGCCTCCACCCACGGCATCACTCCGAGTCGCTGGCTGGGGGGGTGGGGGCCGCACAGCAAGGGCCGGAGCAAGGACACCCCAGGACGGTCCTCGATGGCCGGGCCCGTGAAGCTGAAGGTTCGAGAGGAACGGCAGTTCAATGGCCCCTTATCAAATGTGCTGCCTCGGAGCCAGTTCACCGAGGACACACTGTGCATCCACACCACCAGGCCTTGGGAGGCGAGTTACACAAACAGATATTAAAACCACCCCCGTCCTAGAAACTACGAACGGATCCAAATCACGTTTGTGACTGTTTTCTGGGGAGTAGTTCCAGCGTAAGCCCAGTCACGGGCTCGCCCTGAGCTTGTGTGGCCCAGAGCTGTGACAGCACATGTCCCAGCAGACAGAGGCCTCGGGGACTCCGAGTCAGGGTCACACCCGCTTCCCTCATGCAGCTGCCATGCTCCCTTCCCAGGAGAGGAGCCCGGGCCTAGCCAGGTCTGCATCAGGACCCCGAGGGACCAGGAAGCCCCTCCTGGAGACACTGGGACTGGGCATGGAGGCCACCTGGCATGGAGGCCTCCTGGGTCCGGCACCTCAGGCCCTATGGAGACTGGCTCCACCACCGGGCCCGTGTGTGACGTGGGCGGTGTCCGCTATGAGCAAGGGAACTGGCACCCTGTGTGCCGACCACACCTGCCCCAGGAGAGCCAAGGTCAGGGCCAGTTACCTGTCAGCACCGCCGAGCTGTGCACCAAGGCCCCTGAGCGGCAGTCCCACGCCTGCGGGCAGACACACAGCTCCTTCAGGGTTCGCCCTCCAGCCGGCACTCCAGGCAGCTACATGCCAACCTGCAGGTGCCTTCCTAAAGAGCAGACGGTGACAGGAGGGGACGAGGGAACTGCACACCCAGGGAGACGCTGGGCTCCTAGGAGACTGCGTTTCCAGGTGCCAAGGGCGAGGCAGACATCCAGCACCGCGCACCCGCGAGGCTTGGCTGCACCCACATGCGGGCCTTATGGGCAGCGGTGAGGTGGGAGTCCACCTGCTCTGCACGTTCACAGAGAAGTGGCTCGTGCTCCCCAACACTCAGCCCCTTTGATTCCCACGAGGCATGGCACCGCAGGTCCAGACTCCACTATTCCGGGGGGGGGGGGGAGCGGGGGCACAGCATGGTGGGCACCCCTGTGGGCAGCAGAGGGTCCTGGGAGCTGGGGTGATACCCTCTGTGGGCTGCTCCTGGCATGGCCTCCGGGTGCCGAGGGAGGTGAGCCGTCCCTCCCTCCGTCCGTCTCCCCCCCCTTCCCATGCAGTGTGAGGTCAGTGCTCTCCTTCCTCTCCCTCAGGGCACGGTCCTCACTCTGTCACCAGCCGTGTGACACCGCTGACACGGACGGTGATGGGGACGGAGCTTGCATTGTAATTTATTTTCTTCCGGAGCCCCATTCTGTTCTGACTGAGTCTGGTACTGGACGACGACAGTGCTGCCACTCCGGGCCATCAACACGGCAGAGAGAAATCGTTTTCTCCCAGAGGCCCTGCGCCCGCGGAGGCACCAGCTGACTGCATGCTTCGAGCCCACAGAGGAATTCAGGGACAGAGCGGCGCTGCAAACGTGGCTCCCGCACCCACCTGGCCCCGCTGTAACATGGCGGAGGACAACCCTTACGCAGACGCCACAGCCCTGCCTCCGCCCGCCCGTCTGTCTGCAGGCGGGGCCGCCCCTACCTTGAAGCTTCTGTCCTCAGACCCCGAGATGACCACATGCGCTTGCCACGCACAGAACTCGGCTGCAGTCACGGGGCCCTGGTGCCCCTCCAGCTTGGCGCATGTGGTTCGGCTCTGTGGGTTGCACAGCGAGACCAGTCACTGGCTGTTCCAACAATGGCCGCCGAGGACTCACCTGTGTCTTGCAGAGGAGAGTCTCCATTAAAATGCACCTGCAGACTCCCTCTCCCAGGCCTGGCGCCCCTGCACGGAGCTGACACCGGACAGCGGAGCTTGGCGTCTGGGCCTCAGGAGCCGGTGGCCACAAACACCGCTGAGGCTGACCGCAGCAGGCCCTTCCCACAGGATGTGCTCGCAGCTCCAGCCGAGGTCCCGTGAAGCCTGCCCAGCCCCCTCCCAGGACACGTCTGCCTCCATCTATGAGGTCACCTCCGACACTGCCTTCCCCAGGGTGAGCCTCCAGGGTGCAGCCTATGAGCTGAGACGCCGAGACGTGTCCAAAGGCAGATGTGCCCCCGCCGCCTGCACACAGCGGGTCCCCATACTCACAACACGATGCCCCACCTTGGTCCTCCCCGGCCTTCGGTTTTAAAGAGGACATGGCCAGGGGTTCTCAGGGGGCCAACAGCGTGCTCAGTCACTGTGCTCGTGACACCACAGCCTGTCTCCACAGCGCATCCCATGCGAGCATGGGTCCAAGGGAACAGAGCCCTGTCTGCTGTGTGACACAGGCCCAAAAGCCATTCCGTGGCCCAGCACTAGCCTCAGTCCACAGAACCTGCAGGGGCAGCACATTCATGCCAGCTGATCCCGATGGAGGACCAACCAGAAGGTCCGATTCTCAGTGGGAAGCAAGTGCTGATGAGAGAGACAGGAAAGGCCCACACTGTGAGGCTCTGACAGAGAAGACCGGAAATACATGTGTCCCATGTTCCGTGTTCTGGAACATGTGTGTGCCCTAATCCCTGGGCGTCACGGTGAGACCTCCATCCACATGAGAGAGCAGCATCTGGCTCCAGGGCCTCCAGTGCAAGACATAGATACGTGCTCACTCACTCTCCGAATGTGTTCACAGAAATTCGCCCATTGGGGCCCAGCAGGCCCCAGTGCTGTGCCCGCCGCCCTCAGTGCCTCACCTGCACGTCCAGCACGAGGACCCTGTTGCCAGCGCACAGCGCAGCCATCTGGTCGTCTGGACTGAACCTCACACACCGCACCTCTCCCAGGTGAGTGCCCAGGACGAGCCCATGCGGGTCTGTCCCTGGGAAGGGGATGGGGGGAAAGAGGTGCTGCTGTTAGTCGGTTATCAGAGGCAGGACTGCGAGTCCGGGGAGTAGGCTCCTGGGCAGGGACCAACTGGCGGGTAACTGGGTTTTCAGACAACTGACTCTTTGAGAGAATTATTATAGACACCTGAATGTAAAAATCCCCCTGTAAATACGTGGAATTGCCCAGAACTGCAATAGTGTGTGAGAACCCGTCATGCAGCCCCTTGAGTGGGGAATGAGCTTGTTCTGACTCACTGCGAGGTGAGACACCGGACGCCCCTGAGCCAGGTGCTGCATCCTGGGCCCAGATCTCCACATACCAGGTCCATGTGGGGCTCCGCTCAGACAACCTTGGGGAGCCCTGCCCTCCAACAATAAGATTGCCTGTTCACCACGAACCAGGAGGGAGCATATTCCTAACAGGTGGCTCACTGTACGCAGGCGCATGTGCATAGTGTATACACTATGTATAGCTGTGCATTATATGCATGTGTTCTGTGTGCAGTATGTATGTGTGCCTACATGTGCATGTATACTCACACACCTGTACTAGATATTGTGTGTGCTATAATTATATGCATACACATACCATATGTATGAGTGTACTAAACATATGTGTGCTGTGCACACATGTCCCTGTGTGCATGTGTGCTGTGCATGTGCATACTAGATGTGTGTGTGTTATAAATGTATCACATATATACCATGTGTGTACATGTGCATGATTGGATTGTGCATGTGTGTTTTGCTGTGTACACATGTACATGCTCGTGTAATGTGTACGAGCTACGTAGTATGTGCACATAATGAATGCATGTACTGTGTAATATGTGTATGTCATGAATATGTTGCATTTACATACATTGTAGTAGGCATGCATGCATGTGTATATGTGTGTATTGGTGCTATGTGTGCATGGATTTGTGTATATGTGTACACACACTTGCATGTGTGTGTGTTGTGCATACGTGTACATAAAGTATACATGCGTGCATGTACTGTAGGTGGGTGCCTGCTGTGTGTGCATGTGTTTGCATTTGCATCCATGTGCATTTACATGTGAGTGTATGTACTGTGTGTTGTGTGTCTGTTATGTATGTGTGTGTGCTGTATGGGGTGCTGTGTGTGCATGTGTGCTTATGTGTGTGTGCGTGCTGTATTGTGTAGTGTGCACACGTGTGCATGTTGTGCATGTGTGTTCTTATATTGTGCGGGGGCTTGTGTACATATGTGTTTGTATTTGTGTGCATGTGTTTACATGGGTATGTGTGTGCTGTCATGCATGTGCACATGTGTAGATGTCAGTGGTGACACCTGAACTGCAGTGACCATACTATGAAGAAGGTGGAGTATAAATTATTATATAGGCTGCTGCCTGAAATTAGTTGGCATAGGGGGAATTCCGTAGCTTCTGCGTGTAGCTCCATACTGTGGTCCTCACCAGTGTCTCACCTCCATCTGGTAAAACTCGGACACACCGCCCACAGAGCTTGGTCTCAGCTCCTCAGTGAGGCCAAGCTCATGGCGCCCAGGCCAGGCCCCCAGATCCCTCAGCCTCACAGGCGCTCCCAGCACTGCCCACCCTCCCATCTGCCACTGCCCGATGGCTCCACATGAGTGTGTCGACCATGACCTGCCCACGCCTCACTCTCCACGGCCCCACATGGCTGGTGACCACCACATGCCTGTGTTTCCCACTATAAGCTGTGAGCTTGCCCCCAGTTCCATAAGAGAAGGCTATTTCAACACCCTCCAGATTTCAGTGCCACAAAAGCCACAGGTTTCAACACAAGAAAACGTGAAGATTACACCCACTGAGCTCGGGAAGCGGCTTCTTGCTCAGCCGTGTTCCCCAGCTCCGCACCTGCCTTCCAGGTCACAGAGGTCAATCAGGACCAGCCCCACTATGCACCGGGCTATTCAGGTGAAGTTGGCCCAGGACAGTGTGAAATGGCTTCAGGTCTGCACTCACCCTGAAGCGCATTCTCTCGGCACTCCTCCAGCCTCCACATCAGCACGCGGTCTTGGGAGGCAGAGCAGACCATAAGCGGGTGTTCCATGTTGCCAAATGCCACGGCAGTGATTGGCTGATGGTGTCCTTTTAAAATCAGAAGCTAAAAAATTCACAAAAACATCATTGATTAGAGGTAACAACCAAAATAACATACCAATGTAACCTCAAACCTCAGAAATTAAATGAATTTTTCAAATAAGTTGACTTTGCGTATTCATTTATTATGTACTATTAAACAAATGTCTCAGGCTCAGCATGGCACAGAAGCTCAGTATCACAAATAACAGGCAGCACGAAAGGGCAGCGCCCTCACCCCACTTACCCATGGCGTGTGACTGCACAATTCATGCTGCACCCACCACGTGCCAGGGAGGGGAGGGCTGTGTGATAAGGGAGGGGAGGGCTGTGTGATGAGGGAGGGGAGGGCTGTGTGATGAGGGAGGGGAGGGCTGTGTGATGAGGGAGGGGACGGCTGTGTGATGAGGGGATGGCTGTGTGATGAGGGAGGGGTCAGCTGTGTGATGGGGAGGGGAGGGTTGTGTGATGAGGGGTCAGCTGTGTGATGGGGAGGGGAGGGTTGTGTGATGAGGGGGGGGTCGGCTGTGTGATGAGGGTTGGCTGTGTGATGGGGAGGGGAGGACTGTGTGATGAGGGAGGGGAGGGCTGTGTGATGAGGGTTGGCTGTGTGATGGGGAGGGCTGTGTGATGAGGGAGGGGTCGGCTGTGTGATGAGGGTTGGCTGTGTGATGGGGAGGGGAGGGCTGTGTGATGAGGGAGGGGAGGGCTGTGTGATGAGGGTGGGGAGGGCTGTGTGATGGGGAGGGGACGGCTGTGTAATGGGGAGGGGAGGGCTGTGTGATGAGGGAGGGGTCGGCTGTGTGATGAGGGGACAGCTATGTGATGAGGAGACAGCTGTGTGATGAGGATGGTGAGGACTGTGTGATGAGGGGACAGTTGTGTGATGAGGGAGGGGAGGGCTGTGTGATGAGGGGACAGCTGTGTGATGAGGGAGGGGAGGGCTGTGTGATGAGGGGACAGCTGTGTGATGAGGGTGGGGAGGGCTGTGTGATGGGGAGGAAAGGGCTGTGTGATAAGGGAGGGGAGGGCTGTGTGATGAGGGAGGGGAGGGCTGTGTGATGAGGGAGGGGTCGGCTGTGTGATGAGGGAGGGGATGCGCACTGTGCAGAGTTCAAATGTGAGCTCCACTCACCTATGGTGCTAGAGTTAAGACAGTGTTCCCTTCCGGGGGGTGAAGGGAGCACCGACTGACAGGTGGAGTCTCCCCCTTACCCCCTCACATCTGTTATGCCCACCGCAGTGTGCCTTTAGTCCCTGGGACACGGCTCTCCCCGTGTTTTACATTCCCTGCCAAAGGAGGAGAGCAAGCTGGAGCTCTGAACGTGGATTTCTTAACTCAGGGGGAAAAATCAAAACGCAGGTCCCCTTTGTTCACCATCAGCCAAGTGACTGCCTGTAGGACTGAGAGCTGGAGGGAAATGTCCAAGGAAACGTCGCCGAGGACCCGTGAGCAGCACTCACTGTCCTCAAATGCCTGAGCTCAGAGACGACAAAAAACCTTCAAATGCCACCACGTGCAGGCAGGTGCTACTTTCCACATTGGGCCGTGAAACCTGGTTTTGTTAAGAGCATTCACAGACAGACACTAGTCATGAAATGGGCCTCAGCGTGGAACTCAATGTCTCTAAAACTACCAGCTTCACGTAGGAGATTCCGCAAGAAATGTAAAAAGCTTCCTTGAATGTGTTAATATTAGAAACCTAGACAATCTCAGCTCGTCTTGATTGTGTTGAGATGAACCTATTCTTGCTCATGTTTTCCTGAAGATTTTTTTAATACAATGATTCCTGGCAGCTTTGTAAATGTGATGCCTTTGTCGGGGTCGAATCCATCGTCCCCACGGCTGTTGGCAGGGTCCACGGAGTCTGCCCCTGGCAGCACCGGGAAGAGGGACCCGGCTGTGGGCCCGGGACCTGGCGCACCTGCTGGGCGGGGTCCGAGATGATCTGCACACAGAGCACAGTCCCGTCCACTGGGAACGCGCAGTGCGGCGCGCGGCACGCGAGCTGGACATGGGAAGCGGACCGCTCCGACTGGACCCGGAATCTCTCTGTGACTATGTCGCCCCCACGGCCATCATGCGCGGGGGACGTCTGTGGCTCCTCCATCGCCCACCTGGAAACCAAGGGCAGACACGCCGGCTGCAGGTGAGCTATTTCATGCAGACAAAAAACCTTCAGATGCTACCACGTGCAGGCAGGTGCTACTTTCCACATTTCACTTGGAATGGCCCCTGTGCTCACAGGCACACATCCCGCCCCGCCGCCAACCCCGCCTCCCCCCTCAGCCCACCCCTCCCCTCAGCCCGCATCCGCCCCCCAAAGCCCGCCGCCCCCCCAAAGTCCGCCGCGCCACCCCTCAGCCCGCCCTACCCTCAGCCCGCCTCCCCCTCAGCCCGTCCCCCCTCAGCCCGCCTCCCCCTCAGCCCGTCCCGCCCTCAGCCCGCCCCGCCCTCAGCCCGCCGCGCCCCCTCAGCCCGCCGCGCTCCCTCAGCCCGCCTCCCCCTCAGCCCGCCTCCCCCTCAGCCCGCCCCGCCCTCAGCCCGCCTCCCCCTCAGCCCGCCTCCCCTCAGCCCGCATCCCCCCCAAAGCCCGCCGCCCCCCCAGCCCGCCCCTCCCCTCAGCCCGCCTCCCCCTCAGCCCGCCCCTCCCTTCAGCCCGCCTCCCCTCAGCCCGCTTCCCCCCCAGCCCGCCCCTCCCCTCAGCCCGCCTCCCCCTCAGCCCGCCCCTCCCCTCAGCCCGCCTCCCCAAAGCCCGCCGCGCCCCCCCCAGCCCGCCACTCCCTCAGCCCGCCTCCCCTCAGCCCACCTCCCCCTCAGCCCGCCCCCCCTCAGCCCGCCCCGCCCTCAGCCCGCCCCGCCCTCAGCCCGCCCCCCCTCAGCCCGCCTCCCCCTCAGCCCGCCCCTCCCCTCAGCCCGCCCCGCCCACAGCCCGCCCCGCCCTCAGCCCGCCAGCGCTCCACCCGCCGCGCCCCTCCCACACGCGCTGTTAGACCTGTGGCTCCGGGGCCCGCCCCCAGCGCAGCGCCGCGGACGCTCAGGAGGGGAGAGGACAGGTCACCGGTGTCCACACCGGCCGCCTCCGCGCACCGTCTCTCACCTGCGACCCCACAGGACAGGCCGAGAGCCCGGGGTGCTCGCTCCGCCCCCTCCCGTCGCCGTGGTTACCACCCTAGCGCCGCACGGCGCCACGCCTCTTTCTCGCGAGAGCTCGGAGCCCACAACTTCCGGAGCGTCCCCCCTTCCAAGCTTACACCCCACTTCCGGGTGCCGCCTGACTTCCGGTTCCTGCGGCGCAGCCGCCCGGCCCCGGCCCTTGGGGTACGGTGGTGAGTCCCTCCGGTCCCCCCTCCCTTTCCTGCCCTCGCGGGCCCCCCGGCCGGCCCCTCCCGCCCTCCCAGGGCCGAGAGGGGGCCCCGATGTGGCCGCGCCGCCCCGGGTGTGCTCAACGCGGGCCCCGTGGTGTCTCCGCAGAACGAGCTGGCTCCGCGCCGGGCGTCACCGGCATGACGGCTCCCGGGAAGGGCGCGCCCCGGGCCCTGCCGCTGCGCCTGCTGCTGCCCCTGCTGCTGCTGCTGCCGGCGGCGTCCCGTGCGGGCGCCTCGGAGGAGGAGGAGGAGGAGGTCCCGGCCGAGTGGGTGCTGCTGCACGTGGTGCAGGGGCAGGTGGGCGCGGGCAACTACAGCTACCTGCGGCTCAACCATGAGGGCCGCATCGTGCTGGCCATGCGCAGCCTCCGCGGCGACGCCGACCTCTATGTATCGGACAGCACCCTGCACCCCAGCTTCGACGACTATGAGCTGCAGGCCGTCACGTGCGGCCGCGACGTGGTGGCCATCCCCGCGCACTTCCAGCGCCCCGTGGGCATCGGCGTGTACGGGCACCCGTCGCACCGGGACAGCGAGTTCGAGATGAAGGTGTATTTCGACCGGACAGTCCAGCGACACCCGTTCGGGGACTCGGCCTACTCGGACAGCGAAGCGAGCCACACGCACGCCTACGACCCGGAAGGCGCGTCGCAGGAGGAGGAGTCCCTGCTGTGGACCATACTCATCAGCATCTTGAAACTGCTCCTGGAAATCCTGTTCTGACGATGGACGGACACTCGGGCCGACCCCCGCCATTGGCAGTGCAAGTGACGGCAGGAAACTCTCCTTTTCTGGGTGGGGATGGGAAATAAAGCCATACAGTTTGTTACCTCAGTTACCCCAAAAGCAGGAGATGGCAAGCTCACAGTCCCTGTAACAGTAATGTGCACAATAAAAGGCTTAAACTCCCCTCTCCCTAGCTCGTCAGGTGGCTAGAAGGAAGGCTGCAGGGACAGAGGTGTTTAAGAAATCAAAACAGCAGCCCTGTGCAGATCAGAGTCAGAACGCAAGTATAAGAAGTTCTGGTGTGTAAGCAAGTCCCACCTTAGGCAGAAGGGACTGAAGCCCACACCCAGGGGCGGGAGCCACAACCCAGCAGGTGTTCCTGGCGTTCATGGCAGTTCTCACCCAGCTGCTAGGTGACCGTCATCGCCGCCTGCCTATCTTGAGTCTCCCAGGACCAAATCCTGTCGTGGTCCCCGTGGTAGTCCAGAAACCATAAAGACTAGGAAAACTTGAAACTAATAGTAACTTTCAGGCTAGTGGAGGAATAATTATTTCAAATGAAAATGCCTAATACTTCCCTCTGAATCTCTGAAGACAGCCAAGATGCTACGAAATAACCTTTTGGAAGAGGAACTATTTCTCCACCTGAAGCTGGTTTCCCGGGTAAGAGTCGTGTAGAGCAAAAATGACTCAACTTGCAGATTCTAAGCACATAGTTCGTTTCAAAAATCTTTTATTGGCATAAAAACGAGAATTGGAAATAAGTTGGCACCAGATAATTCACTTAAATGCGTGTTACAACATTGGGGTCAGGGAACTATTTATCCCTCTTTGCTGTTTTTCCCCCTTCGGCCCACTTTCCGGGGCGTTGGGGGAGCTCGCTGACAACAGTCACAGATCCAGCGACCTAGGAGAAAAATTGTTAGTTAATGAAGAATGGACTTTATTTAGGGCTGAATCGTACACCCACTGAGCTTCCTTCCTTGGCTATCATTGATGCTGCTCCTCTGGACTAGTGGGCAGAAGGGCACTATGAGTTCGAGTTCCTTAAAAGGAGAAAAAATGTAAACTCCTCTGAAGATAATCAGCATAACCAGCCAAGTGGTATTTGGAGGGCGGGGAAGGGGAGGAGCAGAGAAATGCTGAGTGCTAGGAACCTTTAGAAGATCCTTATGCATTCTGAAACCCAGCACTGCAGGCTCAGTTCAGCAACTGACACCTAACGTCCACCTGTTGTCTCACCTATTTCCAGCCCTTTCTCTGCTGCTGGCTAGCAGCTGTGTCCCAGCATCCTCTAGTCCTGATGGGTGAGGGCTGAGTGGACACAGGCCGAGTGTCTGACGGCACAGCCATCAGCCGCCCTGGGGACCTGTCTGAATTACGGCAGGACTTCAGGGAGCTGTTCAAGTTGCTTGCTTCTTATCCCCGGGAAGTGTAGCTCTGGGCATTCTTTCTTACAGCATCAAACTGTGTCAGCTATGCAAGTACGGTCTGACATTGCAGTTATGTGTGCAATGTTTCAGTCCAGACACCGATGTATCCTTCAAGTCTATGTTCATTCTAAAGCTACCTGGATTGTTGTGCTGCCTTGGTTGATAGAAATCTGGACTAACATGTCCAAAGGTATAGGAATCATTTTAACTTTGTGTCCATGACATGAAAATAAAATCAAGGGTTTGAAATAAAGGGAGGCTTGTTGCTTTAGCTATTTTAGTAGAAAAACAGTGGCTCATTCTATACACTGAGCTCTACACCAAACATGGACTAGTCACCCTGACAGCAGGTGGACGTGCCCAGGGGGGAGGGGGGGGGGAGGGATTGGTGTCACAGCACAGGCCCGCATGTCCCTGGTGTGTGTGCCGCCTGATGTCGGGGATGGGAGAAGCCCCTCGAAGGGGCCAGCCTTCTGTTCGTGGTCTTTACCTGATGGGATAGCACTCAGGCCCACACAAAACGTGTGGTAGCCTCGGTCACACACATCACAGAACATCATTTCCTCTTCATGGTGGGGCTGTCCACATATAATGCAAGTCTTACACTCCATACACTGCCAGGGATAGGTCTTAATCATAGAAACAAGCTCCATGGTCATATCCAGGCAAGAAGGATGGCCTAAACCAAAATCAGTGTTAGTAGAATTCACCAGTTCACAAGAGAATGTTTCACTTAAAATGGTATAATAAAGTGCTAGCTGCTTTGTGATTTCTCAAGAACGACTACGATGGTTAAGATCGTCAAAGAGAAATGAAAATGCAGAGCTGAAGAAAATGCATGGGCTTAGTCTATGCCTTACAAATTACCCTTTAATACTTGACAATTCTCTGGGGCAAGTCTAGCTGACAACTAAACAGACAGGTGGTTAGGGCATCAAGTAGAGGGGCAGTACTTACCACTGTTCTCACACTGGGAGCAGTGTATTAGAGGTTCAGCCTTCCCTTTCTTGTTGGACTCCTTACCCTTCAGACAAATTCCACATAGAGCATTGGGAATGACCTTTGGCTGGAAGGGTAGAAGAGGGCTATAAATTCATGCCAGAAGAGCCTGCTGAGGGTTCAAAGGGAATTCTGTCACTGGATTGCCTTAACTTTACTATTGTGACTTGCTGCTGAGGACCTTTTTCAAAGATACGACTAAGCCTCAGGTTTCATCTGAAACTGTCAGCGGGGATCCCGCGTCATACAGTCCCGCCCAGAGGCACTATTCACCGAGAAGACCCAATTCCCAGTGGCTTCCCACTCAGCCAGGCTCACTGCAGAGGAGGAGACAAATGTGAGCAGCTTATGCACTAGTTTTGTTTAAACACATTTGCCAGTGGTAAAACTGCGTCTATAAAACCTAAGTTACAAAACCAAGGTTTTAACATTTTTTATTGAAAGCTCATGCAGTCCGTCACGTGCACAAATGTTTGTGGAAAACCAAGTTGTGAGATTAGTTCCTTTGTACATCTAATAAATAATAAAAGGACCCACATTTAGGGGCAAAGCATTCAGTATCTATAATAATAGAAGGGTAATATGCTAATTAGACCAAATGTCTTCCGGATGTCACTCCAGACGTCCTTCCTGACGAAGCCGGGGTCAGAGGGAAGCCGTGCCGGGGTCAGGCGGCGGGGGGAAGGAAGGCCCACTCTTGCACGAATTTCCGTGCATTGGGCCTCTAATAATATATAAACAAGTTTTCAGTCAAGAAAATAATTATCACTTAAAAGAAACACACAGACACCCTTCTATTTTGAGCACATTCACTTCTCTTATTAGAAGCACGCTCAATCGAGTGGAGGCATTTGGGCTTGAAAAGAATCGGCGGCGCTGGGAGCGCCAGAGCAGGCACTGCGCCCGACACCACCAGTGGGAGACGCTGCACGCAGCCCGGGCGGGGAACGAGGCGTCTCACACTCAATGGCAGGTAAGCGACGGGAGAAAGGCAATGTGGCCAAGTGCCAATGGGCACCTCCATGCGTGTACATGGGGAGAACAATCATTTTAAGTAGAATCACTAAATTTCTGTTTACTCCAGCCTGGCCAGATGCGTCTTGCATTTCCCTAAGTGACCGAGCCACAGAGAAGCCCACAGAACTCCGACTCTCATTTAGGATTCCATCTTGGGCACGGTTCACTGCTACCTTCAAACCTGGTCACCTATGCAATTTGTTCTAAATTTACATTACTTAGCGTTTTCACTTTTCAAATTTTCTTTGCAAAAGATGACAGAGGCATTCAAAAATAATTTTTGTCTTATTTATTTTAAAAAGTCAACCTTATACATAAATATAATAAAAACAGGAACTCTAAACAATCACAAATAGCTCTACAAAATAATAAATATGGGAGTAAACATACATATAAAACTTGACCGTTAACTAACCTACACTCCTGTGCATCCTGATACCCTGCTCCCCCGGCGAGGGCCTGTCACAGCTCGCACAGCTCGCTCGGCCTCGCTTGTGGTGCCCTGTGGTCACGGCTACATTCTAAGCATCCGGCTCTCAGCCTCCCCCGCTTCCGAGAAGACAGCCGGGAAGTACACCCAGGACCAGGTGCAGGTTCAGTTATGGTCAGACTGTCACTGCCATAACATAGGCAGCCAACAACCCCTCAGCCTACCAAGCTGGCTCCGTCCCCGGCACTGAACGTGAAAGCTACGCTTATTTAACACTCACAGTTCAGGTCAGACACCACTGGACGGGCCCTGAGGGCGCTAGTCCAGGAAGGAGCGCACGACACCGAACTCTGAAAGGAGAGCTCCTCACGGGAGACCCTTCACAACGCTGAAGGCTAGTCATTCACATTCTAGATCAATTCAAGCTCCACAATCATTAACATTTACATGAAGCACCTATGATAAAAGGGACACCAAGAAAACCCTCGGTTTAACTTCTGAGCTCAAAACCATGTATGTTAAACCCTTACAATGGTCCTTACCCAACAGTCTTCATCTTGAAAACAGAGACAGGGATGGAGGGAGAGGAAGGGGAGGAGACGGGGGGGGGGGGGGGGGGGGGGGGACCACACACGAGAGGGCGCTTCCAGCATTCTGAGATGCTGCCAGGCTCAGCATAGAAACGCTGGGTTCCCTCGGCCTCGCAGGTGGGAAGAAGCTGGTGTCTACGCCAGGACTTGGCCCAGTGACAGCAGTCACTAGCTGGGAGGCGTCTCAGTGACTGGATTCAGGGGAGCACGATAGGGAGTGGGCAGAGCCCCCCGAAGAGCAACGAACAGAACACCCCTGGCAGGTCTGCGATAAGTTGGTTCTACCGCAACTACCGCAACCTCAGCTTCACCACTGACACGAAAACTAACACTTGTCCCAACAGCTCTCAGCACGCCAACGCCAAGGCTCAGACACACGGTCCTCCTGCCTCCACAGTCACGAGGCAAGCGAGCCTTCGGGAGCATGGACAGTTTATCTGTACGTGGAACGTGGGCCGAGGCCCAGCACGCACGCTTCCATCTCGGTTAACGTGACCTGAACTATACTGTCCCACGCGTGAAGGGGCAAGCATGAGCGACCGTGATCAAGCAAGACACCAGGTGCATTTAAACATTTACATCCACGACTTTCGGCTTGAAGCATCCGATATGTAGGCACATCTTGGCTTATTAATACTTTTCATAGAGGTCAGCTTTCCATAAGCGGCATAAGTTCACATGAGGGCACTGAGTCCAAATACCGGCTCCCCAGACTGTGAAACGCTGGCGCGGTTCCATCCGCAGCCCCGGGTGGTTCTGCAGCCAGGCTCCTGCGTGGACCGAGGGAGGCGACTGTGCCCTCCCACGGTCAGCCACACCAGCATGCGCCTGCATTCCGGCTCCCCACCCCGCCCGCCCGAGGCCACGGTCCCAGGCACTGACTGACTCCGTCCACGCCAGTGCGCTCATGGCCGTTCCCCAGCCCACGTGCGGACCGGCACGCTGACTTACCAAACTTAATCTTTAGAGTTCATTTGCTTTCAGTGATTTAAGTGCTAACTTAAACCTTTAATTTAAAAATGATGTAAGCTATCTAAGCGAACACAAGTATAAAAAATCGCACAGCCACTGCCTGTTAGCAGCCCAGAAGCCAGCCCTGCTGGACGACGCTGAGTGTCCGCCCGAGGCTGAAAAAGCACGTGTATAAGCTGATTACATAAAGGCGTTTTCTAACTCAGTGTGGATGCAGTGCTCGGAGTTGCCTCTCACTTCCGGGCAAGGCCGGAGCGGAGCATGGGGCTGCCGTGGGCTGAGGCCGGGGCTCCGGGACCTGCTCTCTCCCTCCTTCCCAGCTCTGACTCGGGACAGCGCTGTAATTCTACTCGGCAACACCTCCTCACCACCGCACTCCCACAGCCTTCCAAACACCTTCCTAGCCACAGTACAAGGCATATCCTGACGATCCAGACCCAAACAACTGCATATCTTACTGTCACCACCAAAACATGAAGCTGTGCAGCTACCCCCGTTGGTGGTTTCCTGAATCCCCACCAACAAACCGCCTGACCCTCCAAAGGAGAGGGAGACATCTCGGAAATGACACAAACAGGATCGCCGACAGCCTGCGACCTTCCTCTGAGCAGCCAGACCAAGAACTCGACAGGCGTACTGAGCCGGCTGCTGCAGCAAACACTGCTCTGCAGGCTTCTGCCCCGAGACGCTACCGCCACGACTAGTCAGTCTTACTACCTGCCTCAGCGCCAGCGGGACGGAGCGGCTGGACCGTCCAGGGCACGGCGGGCCTTCCTCCTACGTACAAGGGGCCGCACATGTCCCACAGCTACGGCCTTGACTCCAAGGAAACAGAGTGTCAAGTTCTGCCTAGAAAGTAATTTTTTAAAAACCCATACTTGCCTGCTCATTATTTAAAAGCAAAAAAGGAGATTCTCTTATAAGCTGTACACATACAGAAGACAGAAGCTAAACCACAGCCAAAGTGACAGGAAGCCACCAGGAGAGGAGCCGACAGGAGAGTGGACAGCACAGCCAGAGGGTGCGGCGGCGGCAGCGGCTCCACCACGCAGAGGTTCAAAGGCAAACATTTCGGGGAGAGGCTGGTCAGGGGCTTTTCTCTTCTACCTTGTACCCGGGGGCGGACTTGGGCAGCACCGAGCGCTTGGCAGCGTCCTTCCTCGGGGTGGCCGCCTTGTCCTTGGGCCGCGGTCTCCCCGGGAGAGGCTCCTCCTGGCTGTCGGGAAGGCCTTCGCCCTCGGACACGTTGCCGGAGGAGCTGTCCTGCGGGGCAAAGGCACATTTCTTGGCATTCACACAGGCTTGAGGGAAATGTGAAACCACAGAACAGTCCAATCGTTAACACCCCATCGACTTGAAAATGAAAAGGTAATTCTAAGTAAACCATGCCGCCGGGCAGACTCACAGAGCCAAGGCAGAGTCCGGCACCATCTCCTCAGCACGGCTCCACGGAACAGTGCCTCCGCCGGCCACGGCAGCCCACGCCGCCACGCCGGCCACAGGAGCATGCTCGTTTGTGCAAAAGGATCGCTTAGGAAAGAAACTTCTAGACGTGCATGGGCATTCCCTGAGGGACAGGGTCATGGGGCGAGCTCGGCCCACACACACATGGCTTCCCGGCAGAGGCGTGGTGGGGCCAGGTCACTGACAGAGTTTTGAAGCTCAGTTCAGGAGTTCGATATCTGATCACTTAATTCACTTTTTAACTTAATACTTTCTGCTTAAAGTGGCAATGCTGTGTTCATATAAACTACGAAACTGGGGATTAAAACACCACGTCTGCACTCACAGACACCCACTCACAACACACGGGCCTAGTTTTACAAAATGACTGGATTGCACTATGTGCACGCGTGTGCACGTGTGCCTTACTTTTTAAGGGTCATGTGCATTTTGTCACAATTACGTGTTCTCTGGACTGCACTTCTGAGATGCATCTCTAATTTTCACAGTAAAAAACTACTCACACGCCAACGGACATCTGTTTTCTAATTAAACTCTGTCAGCACCTGACCGGGTCCTCAGGGTAAGGTTTAGTGTACCTGTGGTAGATCCCACACCGCGGAAGCTATCCATCTTGGCATCACCGTCCCCGTGCCCTTGAAATGCGGGATTACTTACACCCTCACAGGCAGCATGACCGAGAGTCCAGGAGGCGTGGCCTCGCCAGACGGCGCAACAGAAGGAGGGCGCCCTGCGCTAACCCCGCCTCCTTTGTGAGCACGGTGGTCACTGCCCACTGAACGGCAGCACCGTCAGGCCCAGCCGCAGAGCAGCGGGGAGGAGTCAAGTCGGAGCCTGTCCTATGCTCCATAGCACCCACTGCCACGGACCTGCCCAGCCCTTCACTGGGAAAAACTCTCCCAGGAAAACCTACCACGTGACACAGACCCAGACCCTGAGTGTTCCCTAGAGAGAAGCCTGAAATGACCTGAACAGGACACGGGGAAGGGGCTCCCCGCCAGACGGCAGTGCGGCACCCCCGCCTGCGCTGCCGTGGCAACGGCCGCGGTAACAGAGCTCACAGAGGCCATGCCACTCGGCTACATCCACGCCACTGTCAGGACGACGGTGGCCAGCCAGGGACCCCACGTCCAGGCAAGCAGCCAGCACGTGCTTGAGGGGAGGGCACGGCGCCGGCCCGGTTCTCACCGAGGTGCCCTTGTTCCTCCGCTTCTCGTCGCCGCGCCCGTCCTCGGCGTCGTCCGAGTCGCCGTCGCTGTCCAGCGCGGGGAGCTCCGGGTCCAGCGGCGGCTCGTAGAGGGCCGTGTTCAAGGGCAAGTAGCGCAGCTCATCCGGCGAGTACCTGCAGGCGAGACGTTCAGTTCCCTCCCTGTGAGCGGGAAGGCTCCCCTTCGAGCTGAGAAGAGCCCGGATCTCCTCAGGAGCCCCAATGCTTGTGAAATGATTAGAGGAAACAAATAAGACTTCTCATGACCACAGAGGGACAATAAATAAAAAACACAAACACGTGAACCCCAGACTGAGCTAAAACACGCACTAATTGCTCATTCCTCATTCCCAGACATGGCCTCCTTCACCCTCAGCCCCAAATACAGAAAAATGACTGCCAGCAGGCAGGGGGACTGCAGCAACATGGATCCTACAGACCTCGCCCCAGGCTCCGGCCCACGTGCTCTCCACTTCACACACAGAGCGGGACTCGGGAGTGGGTGAACCAGCTCATGCGAGTCGTGGCAGTGCTGTTCCATGACACAAAAGCACCAGGCCCAGCCAGTGTGCTCAGTGGCTGAGCATCGACCTATGAACCAGGAGTTCAGGATGCGATTCCCAGTCAGGGCACAGGCCTGGGTTGTGGCTCCATCCCCAGTGGGGGGCGTGCAGGAGGCAGCCAATCGATGCTTCTCTCTCACCATTGATGTTTCTTTCTCCCTCGGCAATCAATGAAATAAAATAAAAAAAAGAAAAACTGTCAGTAGCAAGTTATGTGAAGCCATATGCCCTGGGCAGGCCCCGCCCTGGCTTCTCCAGTGTGATCTGCATGTGGCCTGGAGGCTGAGAGGAGCTCAGGTCGGGCTGCCGTCCCCTCACTGCTCGTGACTGCAGTGCCACGGAGCAGCACCCGCTCCGGGAGCCTGCCCACAGAACAGGAAGTGTGTCAGGAGCAGACGCTCCGCCTGAAAGCGAACCCTGGCTGAAGGGAGTTCCCCCCAGACCCCGGAGGCGGAGCCCGGACACGGACCTGGGACAGCGCATGGGAGGTGAGAGCGAGCCCTATAGGCTCCAAGGGTCTGAGCCCCCAGCATCCCATGCTCACGGTCAGGAACCACTCCCACCTTTTGTAATACTCCTGGAACTGTCCGGGGATGAGGGCCACCGGGTAGGAGCTGACCTTGGTCCGCTCTGTCGGCAACACCTTGTACTTCCCCTGAGGCACCTGGATGACCTGGGCGGGAGAGAAACACGAACCTGAGCCAGGCAGGAGCTGGTCAGGAAGAGGCCCACGCCACCACCTCCCGGAGCCATGCCAGAAGGCGAGTGAGGAGATCTGCCAGGGGCACAGGGTAGCTCCGTCCTGCGGGGGTTCGTCCCTCTCCTCAGCTGCAACCCTGCTCCCCTGAGCCCCACTCCCGAGGAGAGGCACCACTCACTGCACAGCCCTCTGGCCGGGCAGCACCCACCCTCCAGCTCACCGCCCTGGACTGTGAAACAGAAGCAGCACCACTTCCACCTCAGACGGTGTGAGGTCAGCAACTAAAATGGAACTCTGACAGCCCCCCTCAGAGCACACGGGAGGCATCAGCCCCTCAGCAGAATGTATTCCACACAGCAAAGACACTGCAAATGGCACACACGTGTGCACATGCACACACAGTCAAATATCCATATGTGCACATGCATGCACACACATGTACGCATGCACACGCCACCCATATGCACGGGTGTGGCATGTGCGTGCATGTACACATAAGCACGTGTGCGCACCTTCACAGGCATTCATGTGTGTGTGTGTGTGCATGCGCACACACACACACGTGTAACCTTAGCATCAGCAGGCCATCCTTAACAATGACCGCCTGAGTTCTGGGGAGAAGAGGGCTGGCTGCTGGCACAGACTGTGAGGGGGACGGGCAGGGAGGAGGCCAGCAGCAGCCACAGCAGGCGCAGGGCAGGGTGGAGAGGGTGCCTACGTGTGTCTGTAAGTCGAAGTACGCCCTCCGCTCCTCCATGCGCTCCCGGTTCAGGTTGCTGTTGAACTCGGCGGCTTTCTTGGCGGCTTTCTTAATGTACTCGGGCACTTTGCTGGCTTCGACCTTCTGCGTGTTCTGCTGCTGCATTTGCTGAAATGAGAACATTGCAGCTGGAAGTCACATTAACTTCACCACCTGCCATCCTCCCAGACCACGCAGACGGCGCCAGGCACCTGACACTCACAGAATACTCTTTGTAGTGGTCCGTGATGCGCTGGCGTTCCTTCTCTTGCAGGATAACTGAATACTCAGCATGTTTTGCCGGATATTCTTTAATCATTAAGTCAATCACTTCATCACTGCGCAAAGCTGTTAAACCTGTTTTAGACCAAAAACAGGTTAAGAAAACCAATTAAGACTAAAGGAGCAAAACCACTTTTTAAAACGTGCTTTTCATTCAAACTACTCTGCACATAGTACTGTTACCAAATACACCACTCTCCTTTTTATTGTAACAGTAACCAAAACTGAAGTAAATAATTTGGCATTAAAATAACTCAGTGTGTTTTATTAATGCTGTAAGATATTTTAGGAAGAAAGAGCAACACTCGCCAACATCACCCGTGAACGTGCCGCCGTGGGCCCCCCGGAGCCCTTACCGAGCGTGCACTGCGTCTCGGTGATGACGTTGAGCTCTCGCAGGTAGAGCTTCTCCTTGTGGGACAGGTCCCGGCGCTCTAAATCTCCAGAGGAAACAGAGATGAAGGACCGTTAAAGGCGATTGTCTGCATGTGTCACATGGTACATCTGTAACGTTTCTAAAAGCTAAGCACTTTCTAAAATTATTAAAAAGTTAGAATATTCAAAGACTTTAAAAAGTACTTCATATTACATATTCCAAGTATTATGAAAAAGAATACACAGAAACAATCTTTAAATTCAAGGAACAAAATTTAAAATGAAACTCAAAACAGAGTAACTCAAAGTAAGAAGAGGCATGCGCAGTCCGGTAGGACAGCTGACGGACAGCCCTTCTCGGAGGCAGACCCCGCGAGTCCGCAGCTGCCTCGGGCCGAGAAGCAACGGGCAAGAACCAGGGCCTGTGGCTCGTGTTGCAGTGAAATCGTTTTTCTAAAAGGCTCCCCGGGCAATCTGTCGCCCTCATTATCCTCTTAAATCACGTAGAAGGCAAAGGGACCAGCTGCCGTACAGAGAGATGGCGGAGGTGAAGGAGATCAGCCGGCGGAGGACACAGCTCACACACAACCCACACCCGGCCTCACAGACCCCCCATTCGCTGCGATCCACACCCGGCCTCACAGACCCCCCATTCACTGTGATCCACACTCGGCCTCACAGACACCCCATTCGCTGCGATCCACACCCGGCCTCACAGACACCCCCATTCACTGCGATCCACACCCGGCCTCACAGACCCCCCCATTCACTGTGATCCACACTCGGCCTCACAGACACCACCATTCGCTGCGATCCACACTTGGCCTCATACACACCCCCATTCGCTGCGATCCACACCCGGCCTCACAGACCCCCCATTCGCTGCGATCCACACTTGGCCTCACAGACCCCCCATTCACTGTGATCCACACCCGGCCTCACACACACCCCCATTCGCTGCGATCCACACCCGGCCTCATAGACCCCCCATTCACTGTGATCTACACTCAGCCTCACACACACCCCCATTCGCTGCGATCCACACCCGGCCTCACAGACACCCCCATTCGCTGCGATCCACACTTGGCCTCACAGACCCCCCATTCACTGTGATCCACACCCGGCCTCACAGACACCCCCATTCGCTGCGATCCACACTTGGCCTCACAGACCTCCCATTCACTGTGATCCACACCCGGCCTCACACACACCCCCATTCGCTGCGATCCACACCCGGCCTCATAGACCCCCCATTCACTGTGATCTACACTCAGCCTCACACACACCCCCATTCGCTGCGATCCACACCCGGCCTCACAGACCCCCCATTCACTGTGATCCACACCCGGCCTCACAGACCCCCCATTCACTGTGATCCACACTCAGCCTCACACACACCCCCATTCGCTGCGATCCACACTTGGCCTCATAGACCCCCCATTCACTGCGATCCACACCCGGCCTCACACACACCCCCATTCACTGCGATCCACACTCAGCCTCACAGACACCCCCATTAGCTGTGATCCACACCCGGCCTCACAGACACCCCCATTCGCTGCGATCCACACCCGGCCTCACAGACCCCCCATTCACTGTGATCCACACTCGGCCTCACAGACACCCCCATTAGCTGTGATCCACACTCGGCCTCACAGACACCCACTTTGCTGCGCGTCAGACGTGCCCGTCACGGACCAAGCCCTGATACCTGGGTACTTGCGCTTGAAGGAGGTCACCCCCAGGTACTCGCTGACCTGCTCCTGCAGCATGCAGTACTCCCCCGTCTCGTCGGGCGGCCACTTGTACTCGATCAAGTTCTCTGCCGGGTAGTAGCTAAAGCTGGACACAGACAGACATTATGCCTTACAGGTGGCTTCTATCCCATGTTATTTTTAAGGTTATTTATTTTTTGCCTGGCCGGTGTGGCTCAGTGGTTGAGCACTGACCTATGAACCAGGAGGAGGTGATGGTTCGATGGATTCCTGCTCAGGGCACGGGCCCGGGTTGCGGGCTCAAGCCCAGGAGGGGGCGTGCAGGAGGCAGCCGGTCAATGATTCTCTCTTATCACTGATGTTTCTCTTCTATCTCTCTCCCTCTCCCTTTTCCCCTGAAATCAATAAAAATATATTTAAAACAAAAAAGAAACATCAATCTGCTGCCTCCTGCACCCCCCCCACTGGAAATAGAGCCCTAAGTCCTGGGCATATGTCCTGAACTGGAATCAAACCCGCAACTGAGCCACACCAGCGAGGACTGAAAACTATTTAATTGTTTAATTCTCAGACTTCCATAGCATTGCAACACAAAGACATCCTCAGGGTTTCCTATGTTCTCACAGGACACCACACAGGAGGGGGAAGGAAAGGAAACCGCCAGAACGAGAGAGCCATGGGACGCTCCTCCCTGCTCGCCGCCCAGAGCCCAGCCTCAGAGAGCATGAGGGCCACGCAGGGTGGGGGCCCCGTCCCGAGTCCCTTCTCGTGAGCCTGACGCCCTCGGCTGCTGTGAGATGTGAATTGAGTCTCAAGAAGTCGAGAAAGCAGGACCCTAAAGCCTATTTCTCAACAAACTGAACTATAAACCATAACTATCCGTTCTCATTTGACACCACAGATCCCGAGGCAAAGACTGGGCCTCATCTGTGGGGCAATGCCCTGTGGATCAGCCCCCACCTGAACGGCAGGCGACAGCTTCCTGGACTCACACCAACCCGACCTCCGGTCCTCGCCAGCGGTGCCCGAGGCAGGAGGGGAAAGGATGTCAGGAATCAATCCAACAAACGGAAACGAACAGAAAGAACTTTTCTCCAACATGGTGCTGGGAAGCAGGAATTGGGATGAAAAAATATAAAATTGACCCTTACCTCATATTACATACAAAAATTACTTCAACAAATGGATCAGCAACCTAAACATAAGCACTAAAACTAGAAAACTCTTAGAAGTAAACAGAAGGGGGATAAATGTTCACGATCACAGACTTAGCAATAGATTCTAGATGTAATACTAACAACACAAGCAAAAAAGAAAAAAAGGATAATGAGGAATTTGGCAAAATTTAAAAACTTGTGCATGAAAAGAACATAATCAACAGAATGAAAAGACAGCCCACAAAATGAGAGAAAATATTTGCAAATCGTGTACCTTATAAGGGATTAATATCCAGAATATATAAAAAATTGCCACTCAACAACAACAAAAAAAGCAATCCAATTAAGAAATGGGTAAAAAGCTTGAGTAGACATTTCTCCACAGAAGATACACATTAGGGAATAAGAACATGAAATGATGCTCAACATTAGTCACTGTGGAAGTTCAAACCAAAATCGCAATGAGATACCACTTCACGGCTTTAAGACCGCTATTCTAGAAAAATGCCAGGAAATACCTCTGGGCCCTGAGAAAGACACCATTGAAGAGGGGCTCCTGGTGGCTTACCGGGGCTTAAATTAAAAAACACAAAACCAATTCAAAACGAGCTCGCAACCAGGCTGCGCCGGGGCCTCTATGCAAACCCACATCCAAGGAGCCTGCAGGTAGCTGCGGCCGGTTCCTGCGCCTGAGCCAGCCCTTCGGAAGGTTTCCTGGAGTCCCACTTCTACCAACAGGACTGAGGCTTTCCCATCCTTCCTAGCGGGACAGCTATAGCATCACCTTCTTCCCCGACCAGCCGGAGCACCTCTTGTTCTGCCCAATCAGGACAGGGACTTCTGGCCCAATAATCTGTGAGGACAGACCCACTAAGGACCAGGGGTGGGAACTCCGTCTCCATGAGCCCGCTTCCCTCTGCCTCAAGTGGCCTCCACCCGAGACTGAGAACCGGGTCCCCCCACTGAGTGGGTTCGCTGCCCCCCAAACTGGGAATTCCTATCGGCACGAACTGACACCATGACCTTCAGCTGACATACATGGATAAGGAGAGGGAACTGGAAATGGTGCATCTCCTGTGGGAAACCTAAGTTACCATGTAAGCTAACAGGCTAGAAAACAGGACTCTGAGCAGGTGCCTACAAACCAGTGTTCACAGCAACATGATCACAACAAAAGGTGGGACGGACGCCGTGTCCATTGGTGGATGGATGGATAAGCAAGCATGGTACCTCCACACAACAGTGTCCTTCAGCCTTCAAGAGATGACTAATACCTGCCACCACATGGGTGAGCTCTGAACACGAGCCAGACACAAAATGAGCAGTCTAATTCCCCTCCCGCCAGGAGCACAATGACAGTGCTGGTTGCGGGGGCCGGGGAGGCTGGGAGTGAGAATCCTCAGTGCTCAATGGTCTCGAGTTTCTGCTTTTGGTAGTGAAAACGTTCTGGAAATGGGTAGTGGTGATGGCTATACGACACTATGAATGTAAGTAATGCCGCTGAACTATACACTTCACAGTAGTTTAAATGGCGAACTTTATGTGCATTTTACCAAATTAGAAAAAATTGCACTGAGAACAAAGCACTGTGAAGATGACAACACATCCTCTAGTTTCTGAGGAGGACCTCTGCCAGGGCTGGGGGAGGGGAGAGCGCGCACGCAGAGAAGAGCACACGCGCCGCGAGGGGACGCACCTGAGGTCCTGGCTGGAGGTCTCGCAGCTCCGGGAGCTGTCTCCGGAGCCCGTCCGCCGCCTCTTGTGTGGCTGCGTCCCGTCATTGGAATTATCTTCATTGTCATCCTACACATTTTAAAGATTAAACAGTCAGAGAACAAATAAGAAGAAAGATACTTCCCATACTCGTTAAAAAACTCAAAGACGCCAAAACCGGTTTGGCTCAGTGATAGAGCGTCGGCTTGGGGACTGGAGGACCCGGGTTCGATTCCGGTCAAGGGCATGTACCTTGGTTGCGGGCATATCCCTGGTGGGGGATGTGCAAGAGGCAGCTGGTCGATGACTCTCTCTCATCGATGTTTCTAACTCTCTATCTCTCTCCCTTCCTCTCTGTACAAAATCAAATAAAATATATTTAAAAAAAAAAAAAAAAAAAAAAAAACTCAAAGACTTCTGAAGGACAACTGGTTCTACTAATATTAACTTTTTATGCTAATTAAAGAGGCCTAGAATGTGGCATGGGCATGACCTGGAAAAAGCTTAAAAACTGATCTTTAATACAATTGAAAAAAATACAACCTTTCAATTTACCTATAAATCTAAATCTACTTTTGCTTTCTTACCAACTGAGTTATAATCAAGGTAAAATGCCTTCTAGCCCTAGCTGGTTTGGCTCAGTGGATAAAGTGTCGGCCTGCAGTCTCAAGGGTCCAGGGTTCGATTCCAGTCAAGGGCACATGCCCTGGTTGCGGGCTCCATCCCCAGTGTGGGGCATGCAGGAGGCAGCCAATCAATGACTCTCTTTCATCATTGATGTTTCTATCTCTCTATCCCTCTCCCTTCCTTTCTGAAATCAATAAAAATATTTTTAAATGCCTTCTAGCTTAAATAAACACATGAAATTGCTGATACTAAATATTCAAGCAAGCCTCCTATCCCAGCTAAAAAAGTAAAGTATGTGGATCATTTAGTGTTCAATTTAAATAGCAGCTGGTTTACAGGACTATACTAATTCGCTGTTTTAGGTCCTTAAGTCTCAGAGGACACATGATGACTAAAAAGAGGTTACCAACCCTGTTAATTTTCTTCTTACGTTGCAAAAATTTAGCAAAAACATCTATATATATATTAAAAGGTGATCCAGAACCAGACCCAGAACCGGACCCAGAACGGGAGAGGAGGGAGCCCGATTCCTCCTGGGGCTGCACATTCCACATTTGGCAGTGGGTTATGTTGAGAAAGGGCAAACAGCAACATTAAAACCTTTCTTCTGATTAATTTCCTTTCAATGTGCACAAATCCATGCACCAAGTTACCTGATAAGAACCATCACCTCTGCATAGCAACTCCCTCCCCACACAAAGAGGCTTAAACAAATTTAAGTGACATCATCCATCATGTGACAACTAAAGGCCCAGTGCACGAAATTCATGCACTGGGCGAGGGGGGGGCCCTCAGCCTGGCCTGTGCCCTCAAGCCGTCAGACATCCTCAGCATTGCTGTGGAGGCAGAGAGGCTCCTGTCACACCACTGCCTTGCATTCGCCAGCTATGAGCCTGCCTTCTGAGTGGTGCTCCCCCGTGGACGCACACTGACCACCAGGAGGAAGCGCCTGCAATGAGCGTCTGCCCCCTGGTGGTCAGTGCATGTCATAGCGACCAGTCTTCCCGCCATTCCGTCAATTTTCATATTAGCCTGTTATTCCATAAGATAATATCAAGGTTGTAAGTTGGACCATTACATTAAGAAAATGAATGAGGTTATCAAATGTCAGGAAATATATTTATTCACATATTAGCTAAAGCTTAATGAATAGGAGACTTAAAAGATATTTCTTCAGAAGCCTTGGCCATGGAGCTTTCTACGACTAACAGTTTTGTGAAACACCGGGTTCCTCTCGCTGCATATTAAAGGAGCCTGCGGAAGCCTGAGGAGGTAGTGAGGGCTCCGGTCAGGCAGCAACAGCCGGGCTGCTGGGAGCCGAGGCCACGGCCCTGCACACGCTGAGCGGTTCTCCTCTGAGCCGCTCCTCCGTGCGAGACCCGCTAACGGAGGCTTGAATTGGCTAACAGTGGGAAGCATTTCAGAGCAAGATCCAGCAAATAACCAAGTGCCCATTAAAGAGAGTTAATATGATGATGATGATAATTAGGAAGTCTCAAATGGCCCCAGCTGCTAGGAATTTGCTCAGATTCTTTCCCAAACAGTAAATACACATATTCTCCTCTTGGTTCTTATAAAATACATTCCTTTACAGAGCTCCATCTGTCCTATGAAGACAGGCAGCCAGGTAGATGATGGAGGGTCTCTGTTCTCCAAAACCGGACAGTTAACGGCCTCCTAACTGAAACATGTCACAGTCAATACTGCAGGCAGAGCGTTCCACTTTCCCTATTCTACTCCTGTCTGCGGTTTTAAGGGTGTTTGTGTCCATGTGTTCCCATCCTCACTGGCAGCACCGGGGGGAGGGCAAACTGTACCGGTCCGCCTGCTGGGCGCCCGTCCACCCCACCGGCCGGGCCCCGCAGGGCAGGTGCGGCGGAGCTCCAGCTCCAGGGGTCCCGCGGCACCGGGAGCCCGGGCCCGCCCCCTGCCGGCCGCCGCGGGCTTCCGGGCGCCGGGCGGAGCGTCCCCGTCCTCCCCGAGCCTCCCGCCCCCGCCTCCCGCGACCCCGGCTCCCTTGCGGGGTCCGCGCGGAGCCCGCGTCACTTCCGCCCCCGCTCGGACTTCAAACCGCGGCTCTGCCTCCGGCCGCCGCGAACCGGGCCGCGGCCGGGCCCGGAGCCCGGGGGGCAGCTGGGTCCTCCGCGGCGGTCCCGGGAGGAGCCGGGCAGGCCCGGGCGCCCGGCGCGCAGGCTCGTCCCGCGGCCCGCCCGCCCGCGGCCCGGAAACGAGCTCCGGGCGGCCGCGCGGGGGGCGGTGGGTCCGGGCCCTCGGTCGCCCCCCCGCCCCGCCCCGCCCGCCTGCTCACCTTGGGGGACCGCGCTCCGGGGGTGGCCGGGTCGCTGTCGCACGGCCGCGGGGACAGCGCGGCCCCGGGTCCCGCCGCCATCAGCCCCAGCGCCCCGCGCCGCCGCCGCCGTCTCCGCCTCCGCCTCGGCCCCGCCGCCGCCGCCGCCGCCACCGCCGCGCGGGCCGCCCGCCGCCCCGGCCCCGCCCCCTCCGCCCGCCCGCCGCCCGGGGGCCGGCCCCTCCCGCCGCGCGCCCCGCGGGCCAGCGCCGCCGCCACCGCCATGGCCGCCGCCAGCGCCGCGCGCCCGGCCCCGCTGCGCCCTGTCCCCGCCGCCGGCTCCCGCCCGGCCCCGGCCCCGCTCCCGCCGCCCGGCCCCGGCCCCCGCCCGGCTCCCCGCCGCCGGCTCCCGCCGCGCGGCCTGTCCCGCTCCCGCCCGGCCCTCCGCCCCCGGCTCCCGCCCAGCCCCGGCCCCGCCGCCCGGCCCTCCGCCCCCGGCTCCCGCCCGGCCCCGGCCCCGCCGCCCGGCCTGGCCCCGCTCCCGCCGGCCCCGCTCTCCGCGCCGCGCCCCGGCCGCCCGCGCCCCTCCGCCGGGCCTGCACCGCCGCCGCCCTGCAGCCCGAGCTCCCGCGCCGCGCACACCCCGCCGCCGCCGCTGCGCCCCGCGACGCGCCGCCCCACCTCCCGCCGCGCCCCCGGCCCCGGCTCCGCCCCCACCCGCGCCCCCGGCCCGGCCCCGCCAACGTCAGCCCGGGGTCCCCTCCCCTCGCTCCCCTCCCTCCCTCCCGCTCCCGCGCTGCCCCGGCCGCCTTTGTTCTCCGCGGGCAGCCAGCTCTGCTCTGAGCCACCTGACAGCAGCGTGCCGCCCATGGCACCCGCAGCCTCGCTGTTTGGAAGTTTACCCACGTCCACCTCCACGACCCGCAAGTCCTGCAAAGTCGCTGAAACTCACCTTGCACCTCGCGACCTTGTGCTGGAGCGGGACTTCCGCAGTGGCCGGCAGGACAGAAACACGGTGGCCAGCGGGACTGGACAGACAGCCGCTCCGAGGGGCTGCAGGCGGCTTCCTATAGGGAACCAGACGGGGGCGCTGCAGAGGGCACAGGGCCTTTTGGTTCCAGCCGGCTGCTCCCTCCAGCCTTGACCAACCATTGAACCTCTTTCTCATCTGTCAGGTGGGGACAAGTCACTGAGGATTCCAGTTCTCCTAGAGGCCCGGTGCACGACATCCATGCACTCGGGGGCGGGGTCCCTCCTTGGGGGATGTCCAACTGATGGCTTCAGCTGGCAGTCAGACATCCTTCGTGCTGCTGCGGAGGCGGAGAGGTGCCACCACCACCCTGTGCTCACCTGCTATACCTGGCTTCTGGCTGAGCGGGCTCCTGTGTTGAGCATCTGCTCCCAGGCGGTCAGTGTTCGTCCTATCGACTGGTCATTCCTCCATTCAGTCAATTTGCATATAATCCTTTTATTATAGGACTAGAGGCCAGGTGCACAAAATTTGTGCACAGGGAGGGAGATCCCTTCAGCCCAGCCTGCACCCTCTCCAACCTGGGATCTCCCCAGGGGTTGTCCGATTGCTGATTTAGGCGCGATACTAGGGATCAGGCCTAAACCAGCAGTTGGACATCCCTCTAAAAATCTGGAGCCACTGGCTCCTAACCACTCACCTGCCTGCCTACCTGATCGCCCCTAACTGCCTCCCCCACCAGCCTGATCACCCCTAACTGCCACTGCCTGCCGGCCTGATTGCCTCCAACTGCCCCCCCACACCGTCCTCCCCTCCTCTCCCACTGGCCTGATTGCCCCTAACTGCCCCCCTCGCTGACCTGGTCACCCCACAGCAGCCTGCTGGTCAATCCTTTGGTTGTCCCTCACTAATCACCCTGCTGGCCTGGCCACCCCATGCAGCTGCTGTGTGGCTGTTACTGTTACCGTTTAGTCATTCCATCTGTGAGGACCCTGGCTTTTTATATATATTGGGATGCTTCAGACCACAGTACATCATAGGCCCATGAAATGCATCAAGAAAATGGGAGTTTTATTAGAATTGAATTAACCCACTTCTTAGGCTTCACTTGGTCACTTCTGGGACTTCAGTGTAAAAAAACAAACCTCAAGAACTTTAACAGGGCATTCAGTTGTGATAAAATGACCAGGGTGTCAGAAACGCCTTTAAAGTCCACCTTCAGCACACACTTCGTGTTAGAACGTGTGTGACTTGCTTTGGGGCATCAACAGCAACTTTAGACTCACAATTTGCAACTAGTGTAGACTTTGCTTTCTCAGTCAGACCAGCTCATTTCCCTATCACGATCCTGACAGTTGGTGTCAAATGTAATACCAACAGGAATCCCCAATTTGGGGTACAGTGAGGAAGGAAACTTAGTTCTGTGCAAACAGCTCGGTTATGATAACGCTGGGCTGTGGCACAGCTTGGTAGTGTCTCAGCTCAGTGATGAGATGGCACAGTGTGAAGCGGCACTGCTATCAGGAGCTCCAGGCACCGGCTCTGCAATGATAGGATGTCTTTGGTGTTTCATCTCCAACAGAAAAGCAGTCTTCTGTGGAAAGGGAAAGTGCCTACCCTTGTAGAAACTAGTCTCTGACCCTGGTCCCTCATTGGCCTGTTCTCATGCAAATGAATGCTATAAATCCGAAGTTTGATTGGGCCAAAAGGCACTGTCCTGATTGGTCACAATAAAGTTGCTTTGTGAAGATGCTGATGGGGTGGGCAGAGATATAGATGGGAAGTTCTGATTGGATGAGGAAAGCTTCGGTCCTGCTGGTTGAAATAGGATTCCAGGAACTTCCTAAGGGCTAGCTCAGGCACAGGAACACCGTGCAGGCTTCTCTCTGATGCATGGTTTGCATGAGAAGTGCCTGTGCAGAAAAGGCTGCTGAACTCTTGTTTTTTAAAACTTGAGCCCAGTTAGCCACCAGGAGTCCTTCAGAGGTGTCTTCTCAGCATCCACAAACCCACAGAAGAAAATAGATCTGTCTAGGCCGAAACCGGTTTGGCTCAATGGATAGAGCGTCGGCTTGGGGACTGAAAGGTCCCGGGTTCGATTCCGGTCAAGGGCATGTACTTTGGTTGCGGGCATACCCCCAGTAGGGGGTGTGCAAGAGGCAGCTGATTGATGACTCTCTTTCATCGATGTTTCTAACTCTCTATCTCTCTCCCTCACTGTACAAAATCAATAAATAATTTAAAAAAAAAAAAAAAAAAAAAAAAAAAAGAAAATAGATCTGTCTAAATCCGCCAAGAAGCAACAAAACCTTTTCCCCAAATTCTCTTACATGATAAAAGCCCTCAGTCAGATCCTTTGGATAGAGCTTAATACATATATATATATGGAAAGAGGGAGAGTGTTTAATCTTATGTCTATAAATATTGTGATATATTCAGGTTTTGGTTATACTCTTCTTCCTTGGGAAATGCCTCTAGTCAAATACACACTTAAAACTCTTCATTCCAAGTCAACAAACACTGATTCAGCCTTTCGAGGCAGAATATTAAGGAGTCACTATGTAGATTACAATCCCAGCCCATAGGTATTTTCAATGCTGAAAGAATATAAATATACAATTATTTGTAAAGGCAGTTTAGGTGGAAGAAAATTCTTACTGGACTAAAGATATTTAAGGTTGATAAGGAATGTGAAAAGTAAAAGAGCAGTAGGACAACTACAGATAAACGTACTACTGGGTGTGGAAGTAGGATTTCAAACCCCAAAAGACTTAGAAGTGGGAAGACAGGAAGCATAGTCAGGTACGTCAATCATTCCAGTTTGGCTTGAGAATAGACTAAATGAAGGAAGCTTCTAGGAGTTAGGGATACACTACACAGAGAGGCAGTATGGTGTGAAGTTAAGATTTAGTTTGAACGCCAGCGTGCCACTCTGGTGTTATAGTTTTAAGTTATTTAACTCAGGCCCTCCATTGCCTCACATGCAGGGTTGGAATAATAATCACTTCACCATTCGATCACTTCACAAATATTTTATGGAAATCAACTATGAACTAAGGACTATGTTAGGTGACAGGGATATACTGCCTTACTATTTATTAAGTTAGACCTGAGTTGGGCACTAACAATACATTGTTGAAGTGAAAAGGCCACACAACTGTATGAGCCCAAGTAGGATATGCAGACACGGGTGAGAAGACCTGAGATCAGATGGAGAAGGAAGGAAACTAAGTGTCAAGCACTGCAGTCTTTCAGAAAGAGGGCATGGCCAGCCTGTCAGCTGAGAAGCTGAGTTAGAAGAGGACAGATAAATGTCCGTTCTACTCAGCATTTGAGGGCAATCAGCAATCTTGACGGTTTGGGGCTGTTTCGATGCAGTGGCAGTTTCAGAAGCCAGGTTGAGGTCAATTGAGAAGAAATAGGCTGCCAGCAATTGGGGAGAGAAGCTTGATTGGGAAGAGCAATAAAGAAAAAGGTCTGCTGGGTGGCAGTTTTGAAGACAGGAGAATCAAGAGCCGGTTTGCATGCTTCCAAGAATGACTCGGCAGGAGGGTGAGAAACCGTGATGCTGAAAAGAGGTGAGGGCTGCTGGGAGGCAGCCCTTGAGAAGGCCAGAAGGCAAGAAGCCTCTGATGGGGAAGCGCAGCCCATCCTGGTAACAGGCGGAGAGCAAGTGGCTGCAGGTGCAGAGCTGAGCGAAGATGTGCAGTGACTGTGACGGACAGACTGAAAACGGGATCCTGACGCCATCTGCTCCTTGCACAGTGGCATGTGGACTGAGGAGCGGGCGGTGGAGCTGATTCTTTCTGAAATTACAGCCAATATCCTGTGGTAGCTGAAGTCTGAACCCAGTTAGGGGACTGCCGATATCGGACTAATACTGTGGTAACTAGACCTTGTACACATCAGAACCGTGCACAGAGAGGACTGCGGGGATGGTTACCTGCCTGGATACTGACGTCACAACGGGGGCAGGAGCTGTGTGGAGGGGAAGCTTGTGATCGTAGCTCGAGTCTTCAGCAACAAGAAGGAACTAGCAGGGACTGCAGGCTGCCGTGACCCAGAGGTAAAGCACCGTGCATCCAGACAGCACACGTTTCCAGGAGCTGAGGGGCTGCCTGTCCTACCTCTCGGCTCTGAGGCATCAGGACCTGAGAGGAAAAACAGCTTTCACTTGAGACGCTGCAGTGGGACTCTCAGGGAAAAGTCCAGAAAGTAACTCAAAATACATCTGGAGGAATGGGAACAGAGTTCTGTAAGGAGCATTGAGACGCAGTGCGTCGGGTTAGGGATGTTCAGATTTTCATAGTGACTAATTCTGAGTCACTTAAAAAAAATACAGCATCTAGAGACTTTGATAAGTAAATATATATGGGCTTGGGAGAAGGGCAAGAGGAAGAGCAGAGCTAATGTGACTCTGGCATGTTAAACTGAATGATGACAGGTAACAGAAGTCTCAGCATGCTCCGGGCCATGCTAAGTGCGGGCACAAGTTCTTGATGATATATAACCTACAATTCACAGACAGTACTAACCTTAGGAATAAGATGTGATTCTCATTTTACATACAATTATAGCTACAAGGTGGTTAACTCAAATACCAGGCAGTATATCTTACAACTCATTTATCCTGACAAGTTCATCAGGTAGGCACATTGCTTACCATGTACTATGTCACAGGACTGTTATTTCCAATTTTCTCTGTGGAAGTTAGCAGCGGGGAGCTCCTGTTTTGAAGGTTCTTTGAGCTACAGCTTTCATGTTTAAGCTGTGTGGTACGGAACTGTGAGTTCTGGATTAACCAAGTCTTTGTAATACATAAGTAAAAAGAAGACCCCTCTACTGTCTTGTCTTCCTATTTATAGATTACTCAGCTAATGGGTCTTTTTTACTGTCCTGTAAGTCTGACATGGTGTTCCAGTTCTGATTACAGGCATACTTTCTCTTCGTGCACTTTGCTTTACTGTGCTTTGTAAATAACTGTGGTTTCATCCACATCGAAGCAAAACCTTCTACCAGCAAATGATTACAACTTGCTGAAGGCTCAGATCATGGTCAGCATCTTCTTAGCAATTAAGTATTATTTAAGTAAGTATGTAAATTGTTGTTTTTGTTTAAAAAAAATGTTATTGCACACTTAACAGACTACAGTATAGTGTAAATATAACAGTTATATACACTGGGAAATAAGAAATCCACATGACTTGCTTCATTGCGGTACCTGCTTTATTGCGGTGGTCAGGAACCAAACCAGCAGCATCTCCAAGGTCTGCCCGCACAGTCATGTGGTGCTTAAGGACCGGGATGTGCTCTGAGAAATGGGTCACTAGGCAGTTTTATTGTTGTGCACACACCATGTGCAGACATCAGGGCCTCCTGCACACTGGGCCACGTGCCACAGCCTGCTGCTCCTGACCACAAGCCTGTGCGGCATGTCACTGCACTGGGTGCTGTGGGCAGCTGCGAAGTGCTGCACGGCAACGCTGTAATCACTACCATGTCACCAGGTAACAGGAAGTGTTTGGCTCCATTATAATCTTACTAGAGGCCTGGTGCACAAATTCGTGCATAGGTGGGGTCCGGCTGGCCTGCCCCCCAATAGGGGCTGATGGGGCTGGCGGGGGGGTGGGGGAGGGCTGTGGGCAGTTGATGGTTGGCCCCATCTCCTGGTCGATCTCCCGGTCGAGGGGACAATTTGAATATTAGCCTTTATTATATAAGGTTATATAGGATAGGACACCATCACAGCACCATGACTGTAACCATGAAATTGCATGAACTGTCTTAGACATGATCAGTTGCCTTCCCCAAGCCCACCCATTCTTTCCTTGCTCCAGGAACTCCGATGGTCAGTTACAGCCACTCCTTTCATGTGGCCACATGTGTCAGGGAAGAGGGGTTCCAGCGGCAGCCCCAGGTAGGGAATTGTGTCGTCTAGTTATGAAAACCTGATTAACTTCTATCAGCTTAAACAAATGCACACAGAAGCTCACAGGGAGAGTACAAAGACATTAAGAACATGGATCCTGATCAAATGCCTGGGATGTGTAAGTTTCCTCTTTAAACACACACACACACACACACACACACACACACACACACACACACAATTATATTAGCCCAGTCAGTGTAGCTCAGTGGTTGAGCATTGACCCAGGAACCAGGAGGTCATTGGTTTGAATCCCAGTCAGGGCACATGTCCAGGGTTGTGGGTTCCATCCCCAATAGGGGGCATGCAGGAGGCAGGGCAGACAATCGATGATGTTTCTGTCTCATCGATGTTTTTATCTCTCTATCCCTCTCCCCTCCTCTCTCTCAAAAAAATCAATAGAAACGTATTTTTTAAAAACACACAGTTATATTAGTTTTTTTTTTGTTCTGGCATGTAAAAAGAGCCTAACCCAATTACATACAATTGTAGCTACAAGGCTGTCAACTCAAATACCCTTTGCCTGGCCAGCTTTGCCTCTCCTAACAGACAGAAAGACCACACAATTGGGAAGGAGACATTCATTAGGGAAGTATGAAATATATCAATGTTTTTCTTTAAAACCTGGTAATTCCCTTCAAAAGAATGCATATACTGCAATAAAATGCCATTTAAAATAATCTGCCTTTAGAAATTTTCTAAAATTTACCTTAACATTTACTTAATTTGATACTTTACATGTTGTGTCCTAATTTCCTATAGTCAATTATAATTTTTTTAAATCTAAGAATATTCCCATATTATAATCCTATCCTATATAATAAAACCCTAATATGCAAATCAACCAAATAGTGGAACAACTGGTTGCTATGATGTGCACTGACCACCAGGGAGCAGATGGTCAATGCAGGAGCTGCCCCTGGTGGTCAGTGCCCTCCCACAGGGGGAGTGCCGCTCAGCCAGAAGCTGGGCTCTCGGCTGGCGAGTGCAGCGGCATTGGCCGGAGCTTCTCCTGTCTCAGTTGCAGGCAGGCGGTAAGGAGCGAGGGGTCCTGAACTGCCAGAGCTTCGGACTGAGAGAGGGATGTCTGTCAGCTTAGGCCTGATCCCCCTCCCCCCACCGAAGGCAGTCAACCCCTGGGGGGTCCCAGACTGTGAGAGGGCATAGGCTGGGCTAAGGGAGCCCCTTCCCTGCCAAGTGCATGAATTTCGTGCACTAGACCTCTAGTCTACTATAAGCATTCATATGTGCCAGTATTTTATATTTTGAGGTAATAGTGTTAATAAATATGGTAAGTACAAGTATGAAGTTAAGAAAAATCCAGCTTTTACTTGTTTGTTGTTAATGCAATTAATGCCCCAATTGGAGATAAAAATATGGTTAATCAATACTACTGAGGTTTACAAATCTATAAACTTCATGTATTTGAGGAGCTGAGAAGTAAACGTTGTTCAGACATGTCACAAGTTATTCACAGTAAAGACCAAACACCAAGGCCAAGGCCACGTAAGTTTCTGTTTCATGTTTAGCTGCAACCCAGGTGTCCCAGGCAGCATCCCAAATCCACCGACTGGCCACCTAGAGACATTATTAAAAAATTAACTTTAGTTGAACATGTTAAGTAATTTTAAAACCCACACAAGTCTGATTTCTTTAAAGACACATGGGTATGTTAGCGAGTTGCTCATGTAACACATACTTGGTCCAATGGCCCCTTTCCTGAGGAGACTGACAGTGAACCTCCCCAGGTCCAGCTTCACACACACACACACACACACACACACACACACACACAGCTGGTCCTTGTCTAACGCAGACACCCATCCTAGCAGGATGTCCGGGAAGGAGCAGGGCCCCTCTGCGGTTTGGGTCTAGCAGCTCAGTGTACAGTGCTACTATCTGTGTTATAATCCATCTTAAGGAATTACCCTTCCCACCCTTAAGAGATTTTCAATGGGGAATTTGTTAGGACCTTGTCTCAAAATGAAGAAATGGCACTGATTATACAAATGGCTGAGAGAGAAATGCTAACTCCTGAGCTTTGTCACAAAGCCATGTGTGATCTGACTACAGCCTAATTTTCTGCCGTGCATCTGAAATGGCCACAGATCCTTTTGGCTTCTCCCATTGAGGTTGAGTCTATTTCCCCCTTGTATACGCGTTGTCATGGGAACTCGCTTTGAGCAAAAGAATGTGACACTGTGCCACTCCCAAGCCAGGCCTTAAGAGGTCTTCTGCTCTCGCCTTCTAGGAACGTTGTGAGGAGACCCCCACGAACAGGAGGCCATCAGTCCACTGGAGGAGGATGGCTCAGGTGCAGGAGAACCAGATGCCCCAGCCAACAGCCAGCACCAACCATCAGACACATGGCTGAGGCCCACTTGGACCTCCAGGTCCAGCGGAGTGACCAGGTGGCTGCAGACACCTCAGTGAGTCAGCAGAAAAAACAAAGGGCCCGTCCAGGCTGGACTGCCATACATACGGACTGATGAGCACATACATAGCTGCTGTTTAAGCTGCTGAGTTCTGGGGCGATGTGTTGAGCTGCCTGAAATCCCACAGCCACAGTGGGTTATTCGAGCAACTGCGTTTGGCCTGCCCGGCACCTCTGCTCACCACGTTTTCTCTGCTGGCAGCTCTCCCTGACCTGTGGCACCGCTGGTTTCTTCCTGTTGTTGAGACATCAGGGTCTTCCCTGTCTCTAGACAGTCCCATTTAGTCACTGTCACTCTAGCTCACCTCCTGCCCTAATCTTCTCTACTGAGCACTTAGGACCATCTAGAAGTTGCCCAATCCTTAGGTGTTTAACAGCAGGGGGTGGCCATTCTCTTCTCCCCGGAGCCATCCCTGTCTTGCTGCCTGTCGTGTAGTCAGCCTCCCTCGGTCGGCCAGGTCCTCCTCCCCAGGCTCCCTCCGGCAGCCTTGCAAACTGTACCCAACTTCACATAATTACATGGCCTAGTGGGTTCGCATTTTTATTTGTAAATAATGATAATCCCGCTGTTTATTGAGGACTCTGTGCTGGAGAAAATGTTAAGGATTTGAATACAGTTAATCTCACTTAGTCCTCACAATTATTCCAGCAAGTGGACTTTATGATCTTGATCTTATACAAAAAACTATGCCCAGGACTCAGCAGTGAGTGCTTCTGCCAGGATTCATATCCAACCCAATCCGACTCCCAAACCGAGGCTGTTACACTATCTGAATTATTTTTTTTCTCAGACTCTAAGCTGTGTTTTTTTTATTTCCTTGACTAGAGTAAGGACTCTTTGAGAATTAGTCATTCCTTATAATTCTCTGTAAATTCTTCAATATCTAACACTCATTAATGCCTATCAATAGAAAATTGTCATTTCTAAGTACTTTTCCAGTAATTACAGTGAAAGAACATAAATTTAACAGATTATTCTTTCATTCCCGGCACCCCAGGGCTTAACATGCCCTGGAGCCAGCACAGGGCTGAGTGAGGACAGACTAAAGGACAGACTTCATAGTTCTAACTGATAAAGTGGTACTCACATTTATTGCCTGACCAGACTTTTGAATAAATAATACCTTTATAATCAATTTATAACGTTGGTATGCAAAGTCTTTGACTGCTGACAATATGAGGTCTGATAATTCAAGTGACAAGTGAGAGAAGAGTTTCTCATCATATTTGATTTCTTTAAGAGTGTCCTTTAAAAAATTAAAAAAATAGACCTAAATTTTCAAACTAAATATTTTCTAAATAAAAATTCAAGTAAAAAACATGTCTAAATAATACATATAACTTTAAAAACAAATATTTAATGCATGTCATGCTTACCAATTTATTTCAATCACAATTTTGAAGAAAACTTATTTTGTTTTTTTAATTCTGTTCAATTCCTCTCTGTTAAGATGTAAGTTTCCCTGTGTTGCAGACAATTGGGGAGACACGGGGGGGGGGGGGGGGGGGTGTTAAAGGAAAGCTTTTGGGAATTCTTCGGTAGAGGAAGCCAACTTCTTAAAGTGCACATACTTGCTAAAGCTCAGATGTGGGTTTCCCTGGTCCAGAGCTGCACTGGGCCTTTCCTGTCTCCCTCTTCCATCTCCTCTGGCTAAAGCCCACTTCTTCCCAATCTCTTCTGATGCTTCCCACTCGGTGGAATTTTTCCTGTGGCCAAGGAAAAGCCAAGGAAACCAGGTTTCTCAGCGTGCTTGTTAATGAATTAGCTAGCGCACTGAGGTGAAGGCAGTGACAGGTGTGGGCCCTAAAGCACTGCACTGCCCTCCAAACCATCAGCAGACCTGGACCATCTAGGGAGCAGACAGCATATGCCTCTGACTGGCTGACTGGGACCAAAGATACATTAACCAATGTTCTGGGTTCTGACTGATAATAAATGGACTCCTAGCTAATATATAGGCATGTAAAACCAAAGAACTAGCTCTTTCCTGTTGTTTTGGTTTCCTTCTAGAATGCTCTGGTCTAAAATGGGGTTTAGAAGCATTGATTTCCCTCAGGTGCTTGGCTGTGGCTCTATCTTGTGGACACTTAGCAACCACCACTCTCTTTTCTGAATCTTCATAACTTACCCCACGTTTTCTCTACCTAAGGGCTCTTTTTTAAATAAATAAGCACTCCCTATATAAAAATACCCACAAGCTCCATCAATATATACTATTTCTGTGTCTAGAACTACATTCAGTGTTCCCTGAACTCCAGGGAAATCCCTGACCTCTTAATGACCCCAGTCATCCACCTACATCCCCAATAAGCTCTTCTAGGCCTCATCAAGCCCAATGAAACTCTATAAATTATCAAATTAAATTAAATGATTTGAAATCCTATTACCTATAATAATAAAAGCTTAGGTGGTCCTCATGCACCACACTGTTGCAAAATGGTCACCACAAGATGGCCACACGCAGGCTGGCAGGGGAGGGCAGTTGTAGGCCATTGGGCCTGCAAGGGAGGGCAGTTGTGGGTGATCAGGCTGGCAGGGAAGGCCAGCTGGGGGCAATCAGGCCAGCAGGGGAGCGATTAGGGGGCAATCAGGCTGGCAGGCAGGTGAGTGGTTAGGAGCCAGTGGTCCCAGATTGTGAGAGGGATGTCCCAGATTGGAGAGGGTGCAGGCCAGGCTGAAGGACACCCCACCCATGCACGGGCCTCTAGTATTCAATAAATTTGAACTCAGTCTATGTGGTAGAACTGAGTGACACACCAGAATGTACACTCTCACATCACAAATGCTTGCTATTAGTGTTTAGATCAGTAAAGAAGGTAATTAATAGTTATTTTGTGTTAAAATTGAGTTGAATTTATTTCCTTAAGTCATGAGCCATAATATCTTCATCGAGTATCATCTGACAATTATTAGTTCCATTTAGAAATATATTTATACAGTGTAGAAAAACTGGAGAGTCACCTAACTATTCCTCTGTATTAATTAAAGCTAATTAATTTAAAATTTAAAGTTATTAATCATTTATACAAACCAAATTAAACCTATGCTTTGTTCCAAATAGGTAGCTCAGATCAGCTGTCACTGAAGGAATGTGCCGGAAACCAATCATTATCTCACTAATAGAAAGAGGCTGGTCAACCTTGAAGCTCTGAAAGGTCAGAGCCAACCACACTCTAATTGAGACAATAGTAACTGAGGCAGCTTCCCCATCTTGTAATCATGTAAATCCTTACTGATATGATAATCCGCTTATTACCTGCCTAAAGGCTATGGGTGTTTCTCAAAGCTGCTTAAAGGTACTGGGTGTTTTCCAAAGCTGCTTCAGGGTACTGGGTGTATCCCATAGCAGCCTCAATAAAAGGGATAGCAAGGCCAGAGTTTACAGAGTCTTCCCACTAGAGGTTGACTCCCACCTGGCCCCCATTTGTTCCAAATTAACTCTTTTCTAGCCTCTCTTCATTTTAGTGTGTGGCCTCCTCCAGAAGCCGGACCCTGAGTGGGCCCTAATCACGCGGGTCATGTTAAGGGTTCCCACAGGAATGCATCTTGTAACCTGGAGGGGGAGGTAATTTTAAAACAAGGAGTGGAATGATGGGCGGAACACCACCAAGGGCATCTGTTATCAGGAAAGTCCTGGTGCCTGGTGCCCAGAACTAGAGACCAGATGAAAAGGGGATTCAGAAAAGGTGGTGCCTCAAGTGGGTTTCCTATAATAAAAAATGTTGTCATTTGGTCCTTTTTCAAGAAAAGATGGTGAAGGGAATTCCTCCCATCTGAACAATGTAGCCTTCAGACACCAAAACTAGTAGAGTTAATACTGGTAGTAATATTATTACAGGATTAGTTTTGTAAAATTGACAAGCTTTTTTGAATGAGCCTGGGATCACGTGTCTGAGTTTCAAACAACTGTTTTTAATGAACTTTATATTCCAGTCAATTAAAGGAAGAAAATAACGATGCCTAAGCTGGAGATGGTCTATACTTAAAAGATGTTTTAGCATAGTCAAGAACCAGTTTTTCACACAAATACACACAGCCAATGTGTTCTTTTTCACTCATTCCTCCAATTATGGGCAAAACATGGAACCAGCGGGACAGTTTATGGATAATTAAGAGCTAAACGAAATAAAAGCATGTTCCCTTTCATCTAACTCATAGCATCAATGTGAAGATTATTGACTACAAATCCAAAGTACTTTCATATTCTCACTTGAGTGCTATAAAAAAAAAACCCCAAGGGTAATTGTACTGCCATAAACCTGAATTTAGTTTACCAAATCCCCAAAGCTGTTATTATGTCATACACATTTATCAACCTACCGTTAATATCTGCTGGACTTTAGTTTCTACTGAATGAGCTTGGAACTTTCTCAGTGGCTCCATTCTATATGTATTAGCAAACCTAAATTTTGCCATAGAACTCTTCCATTCTTTATTTATCTCAGCAATGGAATCATCAAATGGAGGCTCTACATACAGAACATCATGAGATGACTCTTTCAGCCTTTCTTTTAAAATCTGTGCATACTGAAAGAAAGAGGTGGGGAGAGGTAGTTATTTACTACAGGTCCGGTGCTTTGTTCCAAATAGGTGGCTCAGATCAGTTGAAAAATTTTTTTGCAAATTTGTGCAAGGGTGGGCTCCCTGGGGTGGCCTGCAGAGATCAGGCCCCAGCTCACTCCCCCAGCCTCACAGCCCCAATCCCTGCCTGGTGACACCCCCTCACCCGCTCCACCATCCCACCTGTGGAGTGATCAATAGGGGCTGCCCCCACCCCCGCCCGCCGCCATTGGTTGCCATATGTGGGGCAATCAGTGGGGTGATCAGCCCCGGCTCACGCCCGCCTTGGCTTGGCACTGCCCTCTCACCTGATCCACCATCCCGCCACAGTCTCACTCTCATCAGGGCCCATCACTGCGGCCCACTGCCAGCACTGTGTCACCGATGCCTGTCATGTTCCATGCTGCCCCCTGGTGGTCAACGCACGTCATAGTGGGCAGTCAAAACTCTTAGTTGAACCACCACCCCGGGGGGGACAATTTGCATATTAGGCTTTTTTTTTTTTAAATATATTTTATTGATATTTCACGGAGAGGAGGAAGGGAGAGAGATAGAGAGCCAGAAACGTCGACGAGAAACATCGACCAGCTGCCTCTTGCACACCCCCCACTGGGGATGTGCCCGCAACCAATGTACATGCCCCTGACCAGAATCGAACCTGGGACCCTTCAGTCCGCAGACCGACGCTCTACCACTGAGCCAAACCAGCTTCGGCCATATTAGGCTTTTATTATATAGGAGGACAGGATTTGTTTTATAATTCTTTATTGTTGAAAGTATTACAAGTGTCCCCTTTCCCCCCAATGATCCCCCTCCAGCATTTCCCCTTGTATATGCATACAAGGTCTTTGTTTATTTTCTACCCACCCACCCTCCCCCACCTTCCCTCTAAGGTTCTGCACTCTGTTCCATGCTTCCATGTCTCTGGATCCATTCCATCAGTTTATACATCTATTGACATGATCATGCGATTTTTGTCTTTTATGTGATGTATCACGTTTACTTGTAAATATATTATACCAGCCTTGCATCCCTGAAATAAATCCCACTTGGTCATAATGTATGATCTTTTTAACATATTGCTGGATGTGATTTGCTAATATTTTATTGAGGATTTTAGCATCTATGTTCATCAGGAATATTGGCCTGTAATTCTCTTTATTTGTAGTGCCTTTATCTGGTTTTAGAATTAGGATTATGTTGGCCTCATAAAAAAACTTTGGAAGTGTTCCTTCCTCTTGGGTTTTTTGAAATAGTTTGAGGAGTATAGGTGTTAGTTTTCTGTTTTAAAATATATTTTATTGATTTTTTAGAGAGAAGGAGAGGGATAGCTAGAAACATCGATGAGAGAGAAACATCGACCAGCTGCCTCCTGCACACTCCCTACTGGGGATGTGCCCGCAACCAATGTGCATGCCCTTGACCGTAATCGAACCTGGGAACTTTCAGTCTGCAGACTGATGCTCTATCCACTGAGATAAACCGGTTTCGGCTAGGTGTTAATTCTTTGAAAGTTTGCTAAAACTCTCCTGTGAAGCCCTCCAGAACTGAGCTTTGTTTGCTAGGAGTTTTTTGTTTTTTATTATTTTTTTTCATTAGTTGTTGTTAAAACCTACACAGGTTTTCTGATTCCTCCTGATTCAGTTTCAGGAGACTGTATTTTTCTAGGAATTTGTCCATTTCATCCACATTGTCTAGCTTGTTGGCATACGGTTGTTCATACTATTTTCCTACAATCCTTTGTATTTCTATAGTGTCAGTGATTACTTCTCCACTTTTGTTTCTGATTTTATTATTTGGTTCCTCTATTTCTTGAAGAGTCTGGCTAACGATTTATCAATTTTGTTTATCCTTTCAAAGAACCAGCTCTTGGTTTCATTGATTTTTTAAAATTGTTTTTGTATGTTATTTATTTCTGCTCTAATCTTTATTATTTTTTTCCTTCTACTTACTCTGGGATTTTCTTGTTTCTGGTTCTTTTAAGTTGTAAAGTTAAATAGTTTATTGCTAGTTCTTATTTTTTGTTTTTGAGGTATGACTGTAGTGTTATGAACTTCCTTCTCAGAACTGCTTTTGCTGTGTCCCAGAGATTTTGGGTGGTTGTGTGTTTTCATGAAATTTTTTTCTTTCTTGATCTCATTCATAACCTATTCATCCTATATAATAAAAGGCTAATATGCAAATCGACCAAACAGTGGAACAACTGGTCACTATGTTGTGAACTGACCACCAGGGGGCAGATACTCAATGTAGGAGCTGCCCCCCTGGGGGTCAGTGTGCTCCCACAGGAGGAGTGCTGCTCAGCCAGAAGCCCCGAGCTGGGCTTATGGCTGGCAAGTGCAGTGGCAGAGGCAGAAACCTCTCCGGCCTCTGTGGCAGTGCTAAGGGCCACTTGGGGGATATCTGACTGCCGGCTTAGGCCCACTTCCCATCAGTGGAACATCCCTTAAGGACTCCCGGAATGCAAGAGGGCGCAGGTCAGGCTGAGAGATCCTCCAAGTGCACGAATTTTGTGGAGTAGGCCTCTAGTTGTTTAGTAACATGCTATTTAGCCTCCATGTGTTTTAATGTTTTGGGGTGTTTTTACTGTAGTTGTTTTCTAATTTCATTCCACTGTGATCTGAGAAGATGCTTGATATGATTTCAATCTTCTCAAATTTGTAGAGACTTGTTTTGTGTCCTAACATGAGGTCTATCTTTGTGAATGACCCATATGCACTTGAAAAGAATGTATATTCTGCTGCATTGGGGTGAAATGCTCTATAAATGTCAATTAAACCCATCTGACCCAGTGTGTCCTTTAGAGTCACTGTTTCCTTGTTAAGTTTTTGTCTGGAAAATCTATTAAGTGAAGTCAGTGGGGCGTTATAAAGTTGTCAATCTCTCTATTAAAGTCCTCTAGAAGTTTTTATTTTTTAAAAAAATATATTTAGGTGCTGCTATATTGGGTACATATATGTTTACCAGGATTATATCCTCTTGTTAGATTGATCCCTTTAGTGTTATGTAGTGACCTTTGTTGTCTCTTGTGGTGGCCTTAATTTTGAAGTCTATTTTGTTGGATATGAGTATTGCTACTCCAGCTTTTCTCTTTTCCATTTGCACAGAAAATTTTTCTCCAACCTTTTATTCTTATATGTGTGTATATCTTTTGTTCTGAAGTGGGTCTCTTGCAGACAGAATATAGTTGGGTGATGTTTTTGTTTTCATTCATTTCAGATCCTTGCTTTCCATTACCTTGAGTACTTCATGTCATTCCCTTATGGCCTGTAGAGTTTCTGATGAGCAATCAGGTGTCAGCCTTATGGGAGCTCCTTTTCTCTTGCTGCCTTTAAGATTCTTTGTCTTTAATTTTTGGCATTTTAATTATATGTCTGGGCATGGTCCTGTTTGGGTTCTTCTTGCTTGGGATTCTCTGTGCCTCCTGAACTTACGATTTTTTTTTACCATGTTAGGGAAATTTTCTGCCATTATTTCTTCAAATATGTTCTCTATCCCTTCCTCCCTTTCTGCCTCTGCTATCCTAATATTGTTACGTTTCACATTGTCTCACGGCTCCCTTAAGCTGGCCTAATTTTTTTTTCCCCCTTTTAGGTTCTCTGAGTGTTTTTTCAGCCCTTTCTTCTAATTCACTGGTTTGATCTTCAGCTTCCCCTAATCTGCTGTCATTAGATCCTGAACTGTTACTGTGACTTTTTTTGAGGATTCTCTTTTTGCTTGAAATATATTAGGACTTAAAAATGATTTTGCATGTTGTCTCCCCCTCATTCTGTCTTGACTCCCACAAAGGAGGTGTGAAAAGAAACCATTAAAAAACAAGTGGGCTGCAACGGGTTCTAGTCTCAGCTCTATCACTACACTGCTTTGTATTCTTGGAAACACTTCTCTGTTCAAGTGTAAAAAAAATATGGAGTCTTGATTACAATAATGGTTTTCAGAATGTGGTCATACAGAAACCCCGGTGTTATATCACCCCTAAAATTGGACATTTTTTCATCCATTTTAGGCAATCACTTAATGGGCCTAATATCTTCAAATATTCTTCAAATATTGAGTCTACTGCTGTTTTTTAAAAAACTGAAAATATCTACTTGTTCTGCTTGGTGTATCAGATATTCTTTTTGAAAACAGTGCTTGCTCACACACTCATTTGTGGCTGACATACCACCTCTGGTTTGCAGGATGGCACTAAGTACAGCACGAACAGTCTGCGGCATCTCAGAGGGGAGGCGGATGGGAAGGGGTTATGATAATGTAACCCCTCTAATGTATAAAATAATTGTGTGGAATATTTGCTGTATGGAACCCCCCAATACTATATACCGTAACTTCCAGAATTAACACCCCAGTATCTCGATGTAAAAGCTCTGCTCCCAGCATAAGGCACACCGTCTGGCCCACACTGATGAGGACACTTGTTTACCAAGGTCCATATAACCCGGGACCAGCTGCAGTTGAGGTCTCCTGCCCGATAAGAGAACTCCACGTAGGTCTGAGAGACAAGCCCCTGACTGCTCTGCTGTGTGAGCCTGAACCACCTGCGGCCGCCTGTCTGTCTCTGTCTTCGTCGTCTGTCCTTCAGTGTGCATCGCCGGTAGCCTTTGCGGGAGCCGAGGAACCACTAGGAGTCGGTAAATAACCCTGTGTGACTGCATACTAATTCTGTCTGTGTGTCCTGTGTTCCGGCTCGGCTCAGCTGCCTAGACATTGAAGCGCCAGGCCGTGATTGCTGACTCCTGTCACCTGCGTTGGTCCCACTGAGTCTAGACAGATAATCAGTTAATTTGGGCATAATTGGGGCAATATTGGTTAACCAAAGAACCTGTGTGCGTACAGGCACAGCCCACGGGCTCCGAAAAAGGGAGGTGAAGGCGGGGCGGGCTGGGAGTCCCGGGGGAGGGGAGGAGGGGGAAGAAGGGGCATGGCGATACTTCCAACGATACAGGTGAAAAGACGCCTAGCGCCGTGTGTTTCTGTCCGAACACCCACACTCTCGGGGGCCTTGGGACATGCCCAGCTGAGGAGTCCCGGGAGGCCTGGGGAGGGACCGGAGGGAAAGCCCAGCCTCCAGCCGCCCGGCCTGGGAACCGGAGGCCCCACCCGAGCACTCACTGCCTCCTTCTCGAACATGCTGGCCCGCCTCTCCCTCCGAAACCCCGTCGGGGACTGCTGAGCCGCCAGGGTCCCGGGCGCCTTCATACTGCGGCCGCGCCTCTCCATCGTGCCCGCCTCAGCGACCGCCCAGCACCGCGTCTCTGTCCGGCAGAGCCCAACGTCTCCGCCGCCACTTCCCGCGAGAGCTCATCTCGCGCCTGCGCCGCGGAGGCCGGAAGTGCTTCCGGAAGAGCGGCGCAGAGGGAGGGCGGGACGAGCTGCGTCATCGCGCGGCGCCGGCTCCCGGACCCGGAAGTCATGGAGGTAGAGTGGTCGCGGCCGGTGGGAATGCTGGAAGACTAAGGCGCTAGCCATAAAACACTGTGCTTTTGTAAACTAACACTGAACTAGTACTATGAATAATGAAATTTCAGTCTTTGAACGTTTGTATTTGAAAATCGTTACGTAAATTATCTTTAAATTTAATCACGATGTTTTAACATACAGCTCTCCCACTAGTTAGACCTGTGTATATTCTGTTCCTAAGATAGAACCAGGGGCCTGATGCACAAAACTCGTTCACTCTGGGTGCTCCCTCAGCGCGGCCTTCACCCTCTTCAATTCTGGGGAGCGGGCAGTCAGATACCCTTAGCGCTGCTGCAGGGCTTCTGGCTGAGTCTGCTCCCCCCGTGGGAGGGCACTGACCACCAAGGGGCAGCTCCAATGTTGAGCGTCTGCCCCCTGGTGGTCAGTGACCAGTATAGCAATCAGTTGATCTGCCCTTCAGTCAATTTGCACATTAGCCTTTTCTTAAATAGGAGGATATTCTTGGGTTAAGTGTATAGTTAGTAGTTGTGTGTCTTTATTTCCTGTAAGACAGTATCTTTTATGTTCTACGTTTCAGATGTCCCTGGAGGAACCTGTTACCACATGCCTTTCTGCCCCGGTGTACCATCTGATCTGTGAACTTGGGTGTGAAGTCCAAGAACATCGTGCTATCAGTAGCATTGTGGCTGGGAACGGGGATGTGTGCTGGAAGACAATCACAGATTGTGTGGTTGGTGCCCAGTCAGGTCTGCACTTTCTCTACACCCCAAACATCCATGGATGCTTTTCTTTTCTTTTTAAATATATTGATTTTTTACAGAGAGGAAGGGAGAGAGATAGAGAGTTAGAAACATCAATGAAAGAGAGTCATTGATTAGCTACTTCTTGCACACCCCCTACTGGGGATGTGCCCTCAACCAAAGTACATGCCCTTGACTGGAATTGAACCTAGGACCTTTCAGCCCGCAGGCCAGCACTCTATCCACTGAGCCAAACCGGTTTCTGCTCATGGATACTTTTCATTTAAAATGTCTTGGCCTCCAGTAGTATTCCCCTTGCCTACCATTGCTTCTTTTGTTTGTTTGTTCAGAGGGTGTTATCATAATGACCTCACTCAAAAGATAAAAGGAATTGCTGTGAAAAGAGGGAATGAGGCCAAAGAAGCAGAGAGGAGTTCAGGGGAAGCTGGGCCAGGAAACCCATGTGTGAGAAGGGAGGTTGGGAGGCAGTCAGGGTGATGGTCTCGGCTCCAGGCCAGCAGTCCAGATGGAAGAGGGTAGAACATACAAGTCATAAATTAGGTATGAAAGAATCAGTAACATGTTACACAATTATTTTAGATGTCTTCCATCTGTTTTTGCACTTTTTTTTTTTTTTTTGAGCAGGGAGTTGGCCTGGAAATTTAACAATAGTTATAAAAATGACAAATAAATGTGCTCTGGCCCAGCAGTTCCATTCCGGGAATTTATAGGACTGGCACTCTTACAGATAGCCAACTGTGTGTCAGCAAGGATTCTCCTGCAATGTCCTTTATAATAGCCAAGAAGAAAAAAAACATTGGAAACATCCAGATGTCAGGCAGTAGGGATCGCTTAAGAAAATCATGAACATTTCCCAGAGGAACACCATGCAGCGGGAAAAAGAATGAGGAGACCTGGCTTTCTGAACACCGGAATCTGGAGCTGTGTTACTAAGTGAAAAAATGAGGATCATATATTTGCATTTGCTTTAATATGTGTAAATATTTCTAAATATATACAAAGAATTAATAACAGCAGCTGCTCTAGGAGGGAGAATTCAGAGGCCAGGAGGGAGACTTACCCTCTTATATCTATTTTTTTTATCATGAACCATGGGAATGTTCAGACCCAAACTTATTAAATATTTCATATTATAAATATGTTCTAAAATAATTAAGATCATTGGAGATCTCACAGTCTACTGTTAAGTAAAAAAAAAATCAGTTCCTAGCTGGCGTGGCTCAGTGGATAGATTGTCAGCCTGTGGACTGAAGGATCCCAGGTTCAATTCCAGCCAAAGGCATGTGCCTGGGTTGCAGGCTTGATCACCAGTGGGGGAAGTGCAGGAGGCAGCAATCAATAATGCTTTCTCATCATTGATGTTTCTATCTCTCTCCTCCCTTCCTATCTGAAATCAGTAAATATATTTTTTAAACAAGTAACTAGGTTAAAGTATTATATATACTGTCTGAACCTGATTTTCTATAAACTTATATTCAGGTAAAGAAATTGAAGAAAATATTTTTCTCTTGTTTGAATCTTTCTATATTTTCCAAGTCCTCTACCAATAGCATATTTTTATTTTATAACCAGATAAGTACCATATAACTTATTTCAATGTAGGTGTATATCTTTTGTAAGTTCAATTATAAACTGGATACGGGCGTGGCGGGAATTTTGTAATTAGAGCACTTTTCCTCTGACGACTTGGAGATCTTTCCGTCCCCCTGATATGGAGCTGAGATGCTAACTTGCTTTTCATTCTTGAAGCCCAGGGTCTGGATTACGAGGGAAGCGTGAGGCTGCTGGGCCCTGTGTGTGAGGCTGTCCACATGCATTTCTCATCTCTGACCAAAGGGCAGTTTGAAGTCCAGTATGCACCGTGGTTCCAGTGGACAAGTTCTCCAGAGGTTTGGCCTTTGCAAATTCCACTTAGAAACCCTATTACTTGCTAATTTTAAAGGTGTCTTTCTGTAGGGCCCAGAGGGAATCCTGGAGTTCAACCAGCAGGCAGGTTGGCCAACTGCCCATGTCCCCTCCCCCTGCATAGGCTGGCCAGACACCACCCATGCACGAATTCATGCACCAGGCCTCACACACACACACACTGAGTAGCCAGATCCTTATGTGTTCAGAGATCATAATAATCTGGCCACTCAGTGTAGATGTTATATTTGTAGAAAATTTTTACCTATACCCCCAAAATCATTAAAATATAATCATCAAAATCTTCAGAGGGTTGACTGACGAACAGCACTGTTACTTTGAGAAGCAGTTCTTAGTGGAAATTCTAAAGCGTGTCTATTCGAAACAGCTGTTTCCAGAAATACTTGATGCCCTGGAGAGCCGTGAGCCCCCTGCGGTTGCTCTTAGCCTCATGAAGCTGACGGCATGTCTGGAGCGGGCCCTGGGCGATGTGAGTGTGAGAGCTGTCCTTGTCGGGCCCTTAAAGTACCGCGTGAATGTTAAACTGCTCTGTAGTTGCCCTCAGATTCCTTGATTTTAATTATCGTTCTCCTATGAAGTGCAGTTATTTGGTACAGATTTTTAGTGTTTTTTTGTTTTTGTTTTTGTTTTATGATTGTGAAATTAAAACATGGGTGACTCCAGTCATTGTCTCCCACCCTTTGTCCAAGCAGTTGCCTTATGGGTGATTTTTTTCTGAATATCATTCGGCTCCTTGGAATGCAGGTGCTACATGAATTTTGTTTGAATTTTAGGTGTTTTTGCTGGTTGGGAAGGAATGCCCGTTTCTTTTAAGAGATCTGCTTGCCTCTGCGGAGCTTGCTCAAGTCTTCGGGCAGCCTGTGGTAAGTTTGCCCCCACAGCCACAGAGGAGGCGCCCGCTGTCCTGGCACACCCCCGAAATAGGTGCTGATGGGAGTGTTATCACATCACAGGTGGAGGGGACTCGGAGCTTCCCGAGGGGAGCAGCCACCGCCTCGGCTCCCCTCCGAGCTGCCCGTCCTGCCCACACACAGGCCCATGCGGTACTCTGTGGCGCTTCTGTGCCAAGCTGCCTCCTGTGTCTGTTTGTCTGGACGTTGGGCCGTTAGATGCCCGGCACCACCTGGGGCAGGTCCCACCTCTCGCCCCCTGGGGTCCCCTCTGCACTTTCTCTCGCCTGCAAGTAGGCCTCATGGCAGCACCTTCTTCGCTGGCGGGCCTGAGGCTGGGCAAAGCGGGCGCACACAGGAGCTGCTCAGGAACTGATGGCCGTCATTACCTCCACACCAACAACGCACACGAGAGGGGGAAGTGGCGGTTGGAAGGAAGAAAGCGTTCCTTGCTGCATCCAGTGATTTGTTAGTGACCGCACTGTCCACCCTCCACTGTCGCCCCGCCCAGATGGACGTCCTGACGGTCTTCGTGGGCTCTCCGCGAGGGCTCAACCTGCGCAACGTCCTGTGGCACGGGTTCGCCGCCCCTCAGGAAGTCCCCCCCAGGTAGGCGCTGCAGGAGGGCCTCCCCATCGAGGGCACCGGGGTTCACCTCTCCTGTGGGGCAGGGAGACCATCTCCGCAGGACGTGGAGCGGGAAGTGGGGTGTCCTAGTGGAGCCCCTGCAGGGTCCTCAGGTTCCAGCTCCTGCGGGTCTGAGGTCCCAACATACGTGGCACCGCTTCCCTTTGCTTGCTTGCTTTCTTTCTTTCTTTCTTTCTTTCTTTCTTTCTTTCTTTCTTTCTTTCTTTTTTTTAAAATACATATATTTTATTGGTTTTTTTACAGAGAGGAAGGGAGAGGGATAGAAAGTTAGAAACATCGATGAGAGAGAATCATCGATCAGCTGAATCTTGCACACCCCCTACTGGGGATGTGCCCGCAACCAGGGTACATGCCCTTGACCGGAATGGAACCTGGGACCTTCCAGTCCGCAGGCCGACACTCTGTCCACTGAGCCAAACCGGTTTCGGCTCACTTTGCTTTCTTACGTGTGAACGTTTTCTCCTGAAAGGAGAGCCTTTTATGTGCACAGCTGAGGTCTCCGGCATCCCCCGCAGGTACTGCTCGATGCTGATGCTGCTGACCGCGGGGCTGGGCCAGCTGCTGGAGGCCCACC